TTACCTGCAATGGGACTTTCAGCTTCATCTTGCAAATATAAGAAATGTTGTAATGTCTACTCATCAGTTAACTCCTTCCAGCTCTTCATTAGTTTTAATCTGTTGAAACAAAAAGAAAACAAAATCAATATAGATCTAGCATAAAAGCTATTTTTCATGTCATGGTTGGCCTTAATTTTAATATGGTGTGAAAATCAACATTCCAATTTAATGGACCAAAGTACAAAGTAAAATTAAATGGAAGATTTAACTTGTGCCTCAAAAGTGCTTTATATGGCCTATAAATATAAAGTAGTCTTAAGTAGAATTGGTTTATTAAGACAAGAAGAAGTGGACTACATAAGTAAACATAATTGTGGACTAGGGGTCTTCTCTTACACAAACAGATTTATCAACATGAACTGCACGATTTGGAGAAGAAAGAAATCTCTAATATATTAAAAGTAATAATAATAGGGGTCAGGCACTTACGCAGGGGGGGGGGGGTGTTAGACCTCCCCCTTGAGTTTTTTTTTTAGGTAGACCTAGACCTCTAGGGTCTATATGTTTTTCTGGAAACCCCCCTTTTTTAGTGTTGATTTTAAAAAAATCAAAAAAAATCCTAATGGATGACCTAAAAAAAAATGTCCTCTCCCCCCCCCCCCCCCCCCCCCCTCCCCGCTTAATCAGCGGCTGGCTGAGTCGTTGCGAAATTTTTGGCCCGATTTCAAAATGTTAAACCCTCCACCCCCCCCCCCCCCCCTTGATAGGGATCTAGATCTAGATCTAGTACTAGTAGATCTACTAGACTCTATGGACTAGGCTCTAGTAGTAACTGTTAGATCTATACTAGAGACGAGTAATGACAACTTGACAAGCACACTGAACCCACACAAAATCTAAATAAACAAATCCTAGTGTTGATGTTTTTTGAATATTTTTTATTAATAAGTTCCAGGTTTACATCTAAATTAAATAGGATTTGGAGTTGTTTGATTATCAATGGTCACAGATAATTTTGGTATAGAAATAACTTTTGACACGCACCGCGTATGAACTATGATGCAACTGAGCGAACGGATGGCACTGATATTTAGTAAAGCCATCCGAGTCCACATCTAAGTTAGGTCTAGATCTAGATCTACTAAAGATTTTAACAAGAATTAATCCACTTGGATTATCAAAAAAATCATGCTTCGTAGATTATTTTAAGGTGAAACGTTAAATCTAGATTTAAATTAAATCGATGATTGGTGAATTAGATTCATGATGACGATCAAATCTGAAATAAAACTTGATTAGAAAGTTTGATCTTGATGCAAAATGAGCACCGAAATTCCCCGGGGTGGGCCTGCCGGAACGCCGGGGCCTTAACTGGAGTACTAGGGTGAAATGACGGCAAACCGCAGTCAAACTACTTCATGACGATGAAAATCAAAGTGCAATTTCAAGAGCAATATTTAACTAGTCTTTTCCCCAAAAATCTGTTGAGAACTGTCTCCAAATGTAACGAAATTACCGTACATCACGAAGACTATTGCAGCTTTTTCAAAATGATGACTAAACTCACTTAATCTACTCATATTTCAATCAATTACTCACCCATTCTCAATGAACTAACTCTTCTCAGTTTGTGCGAGTGTAGTAGCGTCGTGCATAAATCTGCATAATTAAAGTGACGCAATGAGGTCAAATATATTATCCGGTTTCTTAAACGATACTATCGATAAAATACATATTCATGAGGCTCATATCCAATCAAAAAGCCGCCTCGGTAGCTTATTTTGTCTTCAAATGATCCAAAAGAGGCGGAGCCTAATCCCATTCGTCTGCATGGTTTCCGCGCGTGCTGCTTTCCGTCTAGTAATTATATTTAAACGTCTTTGCACGCAGGGATACGCGCGCGCACGGCAGAGAGGTACGCAGTCTGCATATAACCAAAAATGCACGGCGCATATAACCAAAAATGCACGACCGTGCAATATACCATTTATTGAATATCATGTGACCAACAATCCTCCAATCAAATGACAGGGATCCACGTAGGTGTTGTATAATTGACACTAATCATGAAATTGTCGAAAATGCAACTTCTTTAAAGGCTGTTTGATCAATAGATTTAGACAAGGTATATTGGAAATTGGGATATATTTTAGACTAAGACTGCTCCCGCTTATCACAGTCATATATTTGGATGAATCAATTGTAAAAAAAAAAAAGGGGGGGGGAGTGTAGCCTGAGAACAACCTGTCAAAGATAGAAGCAGAAATATCAGACAAACAAATTTCAAAAACATTGAGAAAAATTGGACAACTGTTAATAAAGGGGATATTCTTTTACTGACTCTAATTCGTTGTCGGGTTTCCCCCAAAATTATTTGTGTTTGTCTAATTTTTACCTGGTCTATTAAAAGCAAGTTAATCTCAGACTAGACTCCCCATCTCTTGATATGACTTGCAAAGAATTGTTCATTGGCATGTGGATGCATGCACATATGGATTCGTATGAAATGTATCATTCATGCAAAATTCAATGAGAAACAAATGGCAACAACTGATATGTTTTGGAAGGCACATGAGACCGACATCCCATAATTTATAACATTTTATTTAAGATTACAAATAATCTTCTTATAGATCAAAATAAATTTGCAAGTGAACTTTAACATTTCCATTTAAGGTTACAAATAACTTGTCATACAAAATATATTTTCAACATTTCCTTCAAAGAGAAAAAAAGGGTTATGATAAAAAGAAAGAAAAATATATATGATAAAAGAAGAAAATGAAATTTAAAAATGAGAAAGAGAACACCCACTCCGCCCTCCCCCCCCCCCCGCCACACGCAACACTAAAACACACAATAACAAGTACAACCGTATAACAAATTGAAAATATCAAAAAGTTTGGAACAAGATAATATCTTATATATTATATATTTTGTATTTAAAAAAGATATGGAACATCCCAATAAACCAATGGCCCTCGAGATCGAATATATCGGGACGTGAACCGTCTCATAGGCTGTCTGTCTCAAGAGCATTCAGATAATTTATTTTATAGAAACCAGGGAGGCTACAGCCCACGTGATCGGCAATTTATGTCTAGAGAACATTCTGAAAGGACGGCCCACGCTATACTGACCTGACGGTCTTGTGGGCTGTCGCTCAACAAGAATGTCCCAGGCAAGCGAGACCGATAATGATGTTCTCGTGGACAGTCGTTTTCGTGAGCTATAGTCAATTGAAATCAAAGCTACAGAGGCGTGAAATGTTCATAAATGAATGATACACACCAATAAAACTAAAACAATAACATTGAGATTTGAAGTATTTCGACGACAGAACACGTCTTCCGCATTAGTCGAGAACAGTCGGATCCTTATACCTGAAGAAAATATGACTACCATCTATGCATAAAGCTTACTTTGAAGAAGCTTCTACATCCCCTTTTAATCTGGGAAGGATTATAGATTGAGAATGATATCTTAGTTTATATCAAAAGGACGACTTCCTCATTTAAAGAAATGGAAGCTCTTAGCTTTAGATCAATTATGATATTCGAATTGAAGCGGTGAAGCAGGAAGTTACTGAACGTGGTATAGCTTGTGATGCATAGTCTGATGAATCTAGGTATCGATTACAATCAATAATTCCATTTTCTCAACAACAAAATACAAAATACAAACTTTCAGTATGTCAGTTACACATCTTCTGGCTGAGCATGTATTACTTGCAAACAGGAAAGTACTCAATTTCTGTTAAGTAATTATTGATAAGAATCGGACGCGTTTGGGGAAAAATGGGTCTTTATTTTTTCATCATTTACATATTCAAATGATGTGTGAGCCTATCCGCAGAGAAATGGTTCGAAATTGTATAAATAGGGATTGAAAGTTTGAGGAGTCATCAGTTGCTTCTGTGAGCTTCCAAGAGCAGTCAAAACCAAGACAAGAACAACAGCATTGTATCACTCTTCTCTCAAATCGACCTACAAAGCAGTGGTGAGTATTCCATATCAGTGTTTTTCCCATACCTTCACACTTTTACGAATTATTTCGTCATTTTTATCATTTATTTTCCCATTAACGTATCATGCACTCTACAAAACTAAAGCTATATTTAAAACCAAAATGATTTATCACTAATGGCTGTGTTCTTTTGGATGTCTTTTTTTCTTGTACAGTTCCCAAACATGGACCATACGAATATACTGACCGCACTTGGAATTGTGCTTCTGCTTGCAGTGCTTTCGAATGGAGCTCCATGTAAGTTTTGTTAATATTGTCCTCCCTTGGGGAGATGCACAAGATATTATACAAATATACACTGCCTTGAGAGGTTCTGGTTAAAACTATGCGCAAGAGGTGACTCCAATAGTACTATTTGCTGAGGGGCGCAGCCCCGAAGCAAATGGTACTTTTGGAGTCACCGAGGCCCATAGTTTAACCAGTACCTCGAATAGAAGGCATGGTATATTTGTTTTTATATCCTGCATCAAAAATGTATTTAAAAAAAAAAAAAAAAAAAAAAAAACATTTTTGGGAAAAAAAATTTAGAACAAAAAAATGTCAATTTTTATCTAAAAAGATTTAAAATATTTTGTTTTCATTAAATTAAGGTTTGAAAAAAAAAATTGATTCAATTCAAAAAAAAAATTCACATTTTTTTTTCAACTCCCAAATAGTAAACCAAAATAGTACTCTCATATAGTACTTTCTAAAAATAGCTTAAATATTTTTGGTCATGTGACAAGCTCTCAACCAATCAGAAGCCAACAAATTTTTCATGCAGGATATAAAACCAATTATTCAAATGTCGATCATTTAAGGCTCATAGGCTCGTGATCTTCTTCCAAAAAAAATGTACTATTTTGTTCAAATTCTAGAACATTAGGTGACTATGCATCACTTTTGAAGGTTTGTCAATATAAGACTTCAGGTTGGAACTCTTAATAAAATTTTGTTTGATTTATTAGGGGTGCGATGGGGTTCGTTGTGGATTTTTTGTAAATACTTGCTCTATGTATTGGTTGCTATTTCTTCACAATTTCTGGCTATTATTTTGTAAATTATTCTATATAAAGCCTACGATAATACTGTTTGCTACCTTGTTTAACAGATTCAAACAAATGTACACGAGGGGTAAGCGGTAGCGTATGCGGTGACAACGGTGTTACCTACGACGATGCGTGCGATGTTGATGATGACGACGATGACACGAATGGAAATGGAGGGGTACAGGTTGCACACTCAGGACCATGCGGAGGAGGAAGTCAATCTCCTGCAGCTCCCCGTGCTCCTGCACCGCAAGCTCCAGTGGTACCATATGCTCCCGCTGTTCCTCGTGCTCCTCCTGCAAGTGCTCCCAGTGCTCCATATGCTCCTGCTGCTCCTTATGCTCCTCCTGCATCTGCTCCAAGTGCTCCATATGCTCCCGCTGCTCCTTATGCTCCTCCTGCATCTGCTCCAAGTGCTCCACATGCACCTGCTGCTCCTTATGCTCCAGGAGGCGGTGCTAATGGTGATACCAGCGGAGAGACCGGCTATGAACAGTCGCCTTCTGTTGGATATGCTCCTGCGGCTCCTGCTGTTGGCTATGCTCCTGCGGCTCCTGCTGTAGGGTATGCTCCTGCGGCTCCCGCTGTTGGTTATGCTCCTTCTGTTGGTTATGCTCCTGCTGTTGGTTATGCTCCTGCTGTTGGTTATGCTCCAGCTGGTACTGATGTCGGCTATGCTCCAGCGTCAGGCGATTCTGGCTATGATTACGTTTACGAAGATGACAGCGACAGCAGTGAAGAAGGATACGGCTATGAGTATTATGGTATGTTTGTTTATAATGTATTGGCAACTGGACAGTTCCCCATTCACATTCGTCATGAAATGCCACAGACTAAATTCATATTTTTATTTGTTTGTATTCAATTAATATAAAGGAAATGGGTACATTTAAGTATATAGAGGAATATCACGTGATTGCCTAATAAAGCACTTGAAAATTGATGATTGCGGCAACAACAACAGCAACAACGGCTGCAACAACATTTATTATATAATTACAAAAAGAGGAACGGTAATAATTCTTATTCACCAAGATTTTCTCATTTCTAATACTGCTCTACCTGGGTGCCCTGCATTTAGCATTATAGCTGGATCATGTGGGTCAAGAGGGACATATGTTGGTAAGAGCGGCCCTGTCCGATAATATAAGCTTGGCGGTATGAGTGTTCCTATTTCCGTATGAGAACCAATGCATACTAAAAGAGTGCTAGCCTTTTATCCAGATCCAATGTTGCAACCCTGACAGGTTTATTTTACAAGACAAAACATAAATGTATAGATAATGGTTCCAAGCATTTAGATGGTTGACATATGTGAAGTTAGATATGGATTAAGGTTGAATGATACCTCTCTGAAAATGTTTGTTTATAAAAAGATTTAAATTTATTTAATTTATTTAGTTTATTCCATTTTATTATTCCGTGCAGGTTACGAAGCAATCCCCGCAGGTCCTGTTGGCTTTGCCCCAGCTCCAGCAGCCCCTGCGTTCGCTCCATCAGGTTCAGGATATGCACCAGGTGGACAAGCATACGCTCCAGTTGGGGGTGGGGCCAATGGATGTGGTGGATCTGGTAGTGGAGAAGGATGTGACGGCGGCATTGACACAGGTGCAGCAGGTCCCATTGGCTTCGCGCCAGCTCCAGCTGCCCCTGCTTTTGCTCCATCTGGTCAAGGGTACGCACCAGCTGCACCTGCCTACGCCCCAGTTCAAGAGGGAGGTGCGGGTGCATGCGAAGATTCTGGTAGCGGTGAAGGATGTGATGGTGATGAATCAGATGACGAGGATAGCGGAAGTGAGGAAGGAAGTGACTCTGTTGCTACTGGTGGTGTTGCCGCTCCAGGAGGGGCTGCTGCTCCTGCTCCTGGAGCTCCTCGTGCTCCAGGACTCCCATTTGCCCCTCAAGCTCGTGCACCTGTTCAAGTACCACGCGCTCCAAGTGCCCCAGTGAGGCCTTATGCTCCTGCTCCTCAGGCTCCAAGTGCCCCAGTGAGGCCCTATGCTCCTGCTCCTCAAGCTCCATCTGGACCTGTTGGTAAAGATGATTCTTCCGAGAAACAAGGTGAAACTGGTTACCAGGCCCCAGTGGCTCCAAGGGCTCCTTCCCCCGCTGCTCCATCTGCACCAAGGGCACCCGCTCCTCCTGCTCCACCAGCTGCACCTGCTGCACCTGCTGCACCTGCTGCTCCAGCACCAAAAGCTCCTTCTGGAGGTTGTACAGCCAGTGATGCTGGATGCAACGGTGGTAGTGGTGGTGGTGGTGGTGACAATGGAGCAAATGACTGCAATGACTCTGGCTGTAAAGATGATGACGATGACAACGGTAAGACACAGTTTAAACAACCATCAGACATACTTTTAAGAAGACATTTGACATCCTGCCCATGAAATAACTTTATATTCCTAATTGCTTCGATAAAAATGATGTTTACTCTCCAACTGCATATTTCTATATATTTGAAAATCAAGTTAACAACTTTTTACATAGAATGCTTACGCACTATCAATTATATTAATGATAAAACTGCACTGACATCGATATCTTTTAGCACCGAATTTTTGTTTTATTTTTGTCTTGCTTTTATTCTCTCTTTTGATTTCCCTGTTATGGAAATCGTGAAAACAATTATCATTACATTTCTATGAATCCTAAAGTATCAAGTTCTTAGCTTATACTGAACGACAGGCACATTCAGGCAATACCCATGTGACTTTTTACGGATTATTTATTTCCATCTTTCAATTCTCAGTTGCAGCTCTTCATGAGGTGATCGGGTCTCCATAAAGCACTTGATCTTCGAAGCAATCACATTTCGTCTGCGTAAATTCTACGGTGACATTCTGGACCCGATTTGAAACTCTCGTGGCAAAAGTGTAATGACAACAAATCTGCATTATTTGACGACGCGTGCTGAGTTAATGAAACTCGGGTGTAATCTAAATGAATGAAAAGTCTTATAGACCGATATTATGTCATATTTATTACTTATTTAATTATTTATTCCAAATAATTTTTTCATATTTATATTCATATTTCCTACTGGAATGTTGAAGTTTTTGGTAAGCAAGTTTTAATATAATATTTCAACATTACTATTTATTACCTAACTAAAACGTATATTACAAAATATCATTTGTTCTCAAAATCACTTTCAATGATATCGTCTGTGGATTTGAAATCTATATGTTGATCGTAATATATCAATACATGTCATTGTTCATTTAATCAATCAATTCTGGTTTCCTTAGAACCCTTTGACTGCAAAGTCACAATTCATATACTGTTCTTATTCAATTGATGTTGTTTGTATCTGTGTTGATGTTTTTCTTATAAGTGTTGTAACTGTCAAAGAAAATTAAAAAATTGATACTGGTAACCGTATATCATACATAATGTGTTAGGCCTATTTCTTTCAATGATGAATTTGAACTAGTTCGACTTAGTGGCTGATTGACAGAAAGAGAGAGAGAGAGAGAGAGAGAGCGAGAGAGAGGGAGAGAGAGAAAGAGTAAAAAGAGGGAGAGAGAGAGAAAGAATAAAAATAGAGAGAGAGAGAAGAGGAAAGAGAAAATGAAATTGAACAAGAAAAAGAAGGAAAGGTGAAAAGATGGATGACGATGAAACATTAAATTCTAAGTTCATTCACTGCAATTATTAAGTGAGTGATTTAAATGAACAAGTACATCAAGTATATCAAGATACCAACAATATGCAATTGAAACAATAGATTTCCATTAAATACGAATATGATTTTAAACAAAGTATATCATTATTTAACACAAATCTTACCAATAACATAAAATGAATTAGTACAGTTTAATAACTAGTATACAAATATAAACTGCTATTTAGGGGGAACGGTTAAAAAACATTGCCCAAAACTTGAAAATGTATTGCATACTGTACTGTACGGTTTAGTGCAGTTTCGAAATCACAAAAAAGCTATATTTGTTAATAACCAAAACAAATGAAAAGTAAATATTTGTTATAATGTACCGCATTCCCCGTGTCAATTCTATAAACCACGATATTTTATCAAAATGCAACTGTCAAACTGTACCAATATGTCTTTGCATTGAACGTGCAGGCATAACTAGGCCCATACCCAGTCAATATTTATCGCCAGAAATGAATTTCATTGCTGATGTTTTCACCGGCGACAGGCATAACATCTTGACACGCAATATATATAATGGATAAGTAGAAACTAAGAGTGGATGATACTAAAAAAATCCTGCCATGAGCATTGGTATTAGCAGAATTAAGGGGATGATAGAACATATAAGATGGAGGAAACAACGTAAATGATGTATGAAGACAAGTGTTAATTTTTGACTTCTTTTAAAAAAGGCTAAATGTTGTGATATATTTTAGAATAGCGGCTTGGTAACTATTTAAACATCTATTCACTAATGCTGTAAAGTTACTATGTCCAATTTGCAGGCCAAAACATTAGAAGGTTAAATTCCAACGGCATTTGAAAGAAAATACTTATTTAGAACTTCTCTTAAAACGAAAAGGCTTGAAAATGTCTTTAAGTGGGAAAATAACGGCCATCAGTTGTCGAATCGACTTAGGTGATTGCAATCACTAAATAATAATCTGATTTTTAGACCATTGAACCGAATGGTCGCTTATTGCTCCGCGGTTGTCTCATTTTCGCCAGCACAAACGTAACTAGTTCGCCGTCTATAGAACGTAAATAGCAGACGGCAATCGGCGGATCAGACGACACTTGATAGTGATTTTGTATGTGAGATTGCTTTGCTAAATATAAAATACAAGAACCTTTTCCATATTTTTAAACTATCATTGATATATGATAATTAAACAGTAAAATAAACCTACCAAACTACATAATACAATGAAATACTTGAATGAAAGTAGGGGAGTTTGATGTGGTGCACAATTGCACCCCGCTGTTAATAATCGAATAGTCCATGGTGTGTCATGAATATTAATTGTTTTGCTTACCTCGGCAAAATGTTTGCCTAGACTAAATGGAAAAATTACGGTGGGGGGTTGGCTGAAGTGGACATAATGAACCAAGTAGAACTGAGCTATGATAATTCATCCTCTTATCTTTCGTGTGCTTGACCTATAATCTTACAATTGCGTGGTAAATTGCGTCCAAATTTCGACTTGTTACACATGCGTTATATATGCAATGGCGAGCTTGCGACCTATTTTGATCAAATTACGGTGGGTGAGTGAACTTTCAAAAGTCAATGGGACATGAGGGTTCCAATGGAAGAGCTAGTGTCAACGTACATGTACGTCGGGTGGATGTGCTTTTCGTTTAAACACAAAATGAATTTGTAACGATTTTTTTTTGTAAAAGTCCATTGGCTATCATGTTTATAGGCTGCTGGACTCTGGCGGTAGGGGGCGTTCTCAAAAGAGACTAAACGGAGCTATATGCTGTATGTATCTTATTGAATAATGAAAATATAATTATTTCACGGCTTCCATGATATCAGATGAATTAACTATTAAAATGATCTTCAACGAAGAGATTGAGGAAAAAAGGTTACCCAAATGTTCAATTTGTGTTGATATTACAGTCCTTGTACATGTATAAGAATGCCTTTTTTAAAGCAATGACTGCATGTAAGGATTTTTAGAAAGTTTCAAGCAAAGAGACCGCAGACAGAGAGACCAATATCTCCTTGGACAGACAGTGATCTATTTTGATTCCTTGTCCGATATTTATGTAACTTCTACTTCTTCTCTCTCTGATATCTCTCAAATTCCATTTGTTTTTTCTCTCTACTTATTTTTTCACATTTTTTTCTTAACATCAATTGTCTACGATTAGCTAGTTCTCCTTTTTTTAATGCCGTTTTATAGTTTAATGGCTATACACAAAAACATCACTTCTGAATAGGCAATGGGTTTCAATCAATTGTTATGTTTTATTTTTTACTACGAAATTCCATTAACACCATCTTATTATTTATAAAGAATTTGTTGTTATAAATTACATCATTATTAATTACTGTAAAACATTTTGGTCTCTATATACAGAATATAAAACATGATCAAATATTAATTGTGCAATGCAGAAATTTAAAAGAATTATTCAATTCAATACATATACATCATCCTGAATTAAGTAAAAATTGAAAGATATTTTGACGATCGATGAAGTCTGGATCGAGCTAGAGACAATCCATGACTTCTCGCAGACGATGAATTCTAGAAGGCAATCAATGAATTCCAGCAGACATTTAATAAACTCCAACAGACATTCAATGAATTCCAGCAGAAATTCAATGAATTCGAGTAGACAATAAATGATTTGATTGAGGTAAAAGCGTCACGGCCTAGTAGATAATTCACAGGACTGAGATCACATCGTTCGCGGTTCGAGTCCTGCTGCGGCACTAATGTCCTTTGGTAAGACATTATTTTGTCTATATAGTACATTTGCCACACTTTACCCAGGTGAGATAAATGGGTACCTGGTAGGAATTATTTCTTTGAAATGCTGGTGGAGTGCCATAGTGGCAGCCATTCTAAAGCTGAGGTAATAATGCTGATTTATCATGGAGCGCCAGGAGTGTGAAGTTTGACAGACATGAGTGCTTTACAAGAACCCACTATTATTATTATTATTATTGTTCATTCTAGCAGACAATCAATAAATTCTAGAAGGCAATCATTGAATTCTAAAAGGCAATCAATGAATTCTAGAAGGTATTCAATGAATTATAGAAGGCATTCAATGAATTCTAAAAGGCAATCAATGAATTCTAGAAGGCATTCAATGAATTCTGGAAGGCATTCAATGACTTATAGAAGGCATTCAATGAATTATAGAAGGCATTCAATGGATGCTAGCAGACAATCAACGGATGCTAGCAGACAATCAATGAATTCAAGCAGAAAATCAGTGAATGCTGGCAGACAATGAACACGGAGAAGAATTATTACTGATAAGTTTATATTAATATACATACAAATAACCCACACAACTTTATTCCACAGTTGCTGTTTTTTCGATTGGAAAGGTGAACATCTTTGAATTTTGTAACATGATCTTTCTATAGCACTAGATACAAATCACTTTAAAAAGGGAAAATAATAGCAACGTCACACAATTCAGGTCACAATTCTAATAACATTCACAATTTGCAGATTCATAAAATGCATATCAAGTCAATATTGAAAATTAGTAGGGCCTACCGCCATCAGATATAGTACAAATAATACATGTATTATTGTCATCATTATTATTCTGTCGTTGGTAAAAAAAAAAAATGACAAAATACATTTGCATTGCCCATTTATGTGTATGGTTCCACTTTAAATGAAAAACAGAAAACCGTCGCTTTCCTACCTCATCTGATAAGACTACACTTGCATAGAAAACCTTCACTTATATTCGTGTAAGAACACTAAATATTTAGATTCACAGGTGATTCAGAAAAGTCAAGGAGTAAAACACTTTAAACACAAATAGGAGGAATGGACACAGCCCTGTTACACTGGACTTTCCTATGCTTCTAGAATTCACTTGTGTAGCATTATCTTTCTGATATAGTATTGAATTAAACACTGGCCCATGCAAGACCCTACTAGTCTCGTTTATTGATCATGATCTCATAGGAGAGAAGGATTCTACCAGATGCTGTTTGAGGAATCATCTTCAAGATGTCTTCAGACTCCTTTCCTGGGGCCCTGCTAAAGGTGTAGTTCTGCATGAACCAGGTAAAGATAAGGAAGAGATCAGCCTTGGCCACTGCTTCACCTAGACAGCCACGACGACCCGCTCCGAAGGGCAGGAAGCTTGGAGGATGATCACGGACAGTGCCACTACCATCCATGAAGTGCTCTGCAGGAAAAGGAAATGATTTGCTTTAATGTTCTACATAAAGAAGACTCGAGAGGTGAATACTCTACGAACAAAATATTGTCCTGTCCCATGTTGCCATATACTATAGTAGTAGTCTTTGAAAATCTACAGTGAATTGATCATTAATCAGACTTAAAGGTAAAGACCAGTATTGGAAACGTCCCAATTTCAAAAAATGAAATGAAAGCTCTTATTACCAATCATGTGTAAGGGTATGTTTTTATGGTGGCCCTGAAGGGACATCGCGAATAGACTAAATCGTGAAAAATATGCGATAAAATTCACGATATCGTCAATTTTATCGCATATTATTCACGAAGAAATTCACGAAATTGACGATATCGTGAACTTTATCGTGAACTTTTCACGATGAAATTGACGATATCGTGAATTTTATCGTGAAAAGTTCACGATATAAAGTTCACGATATCGTCAATTTTATCGTGTACTCTATCGTGTACTCTATCGTGTACTCTCCTGACGGGCGCTTCGTAAACAAAACCAGCCCTAGCTGGGGGAGACAGAGAGAAGGAAAAAAAGGGAAAGGGAAAGAGAAGATAAAAGGAAAGAAAGAATAAGAAGAAGAAAAGAGGGAAACGGGGGGCGAAGGGCTCTTGCCTCCTCCTCACTTCCCCCCCCCCCCCCCGCCAAAAAATAAATTAGGAGAGAGAGAAGGGAAAGGGAAAGGGAAAGAAAATATAAAAGGAAAGAAAGAAGAGGAAGAAGGAAAGAGGGAAACGGGGGAAGGGCAAAAGGCTCTTACCTCCCCCCCCCCCCCCCCCGCCAAAAAAATAAATAAGAGAGAGAGAGAGAGAGAGAAGGGAAAGGGAAAGAAAGAAGAGGAATAAGAGGGAAACAGGGGAAGGGCGAAGGGCTCTTGCCTCCTCCCCCCCCCCGCCAAAAATAAATAAGAGAGAGAAGGGAAAGGGAAAGAAAATATAAAAGGAAAGAAAGAAGAGGAATAAGAAGGAAAGAGGGAAACGGGGAAGGGCGAAGGGCTCTTGCCTCCTCCCTCCCCACCCCCCGCCAAAAATAAATAAGAGAGAGAAGGGAAAGGGAAAGAAAATATAAAAGGAAAGAAAGAAGAGGAATAAGAAGGAAAGAGGGAAACGGGGGAAGGGCGAAGGGCTCTTGCCTCCTCCCTCCCCACCCCCCGCCAAAAAAATAAATAAGAGATAGAGAGAGAAGGGAAAGGGAAAGGGAAAGAGAAGATAAAAGGAAAGAAAGAAGAGGAAGAAGAAGAAGAAAAGAGGGAAACGGGGGCGAAGGGCTCTTGCATCCCCCCGCCCAAAAAATAAATAAGAGAGAGAGAGAGAGAAGGGAAAGGGAAAGAGAATAAAAAAGGAAAGGAAGAAGAATAAGAAGAAAAGAGGGGCTCTTGCCTCCTCCCCCCTCCCGCGCCAACAAATAAATAGGAGAGAGAGAGAGAGAGAGATAGAGAGAAGGGAAAGGGAAAGAAAATATAAAAGGAAAGAAAGAAGAAGAAGACGGAAAGAGGGAAACGGGGGAAGGGCGAAAGACTCTTACATCCCCCTCCCCCCTCCCGCCATAAGGGGAAAGAGAAGGGAGAGGGAAAGAAAATATAAAAGGAAAGAAAGAAGAGGAAAAAGAAATAAGAAAAGAGGGAAACAGGGGCGAAGGGCTCTTGCCTCCTTTCTTTTCTTTCTTTTCCTTTCTTTCCTATTCTCCCTCTTTTTCGTTTTTCTCTTTCTTTCTTCTCTTTCCCTTTCCTTCTCTCTCTCTCTCTTATTTATTTTTTGGCGGGGGGCGGGGGGACGAGGCAAAAGCCCTTTGCCCCCGTTTCCCTCTTTTCTTCTTCTTCCTCTTCTTTCTTTCCTGTTATCTTCTCTTTCCCTTTCCCTTTCCCTTCTCTCTCTCTCTCTGATTTATTTTTTGGCGGGGGGGAGGGGGGGGCAAGAGTCCTTCGCCCTTCCCCCGTCTTCCTCTTTTCTTCTTCTTCCTCTTCTTTCTTTCCTTTTATCTTCTCTTTCCCTTTCCCTTTCCCTTCTCTCTCTCTGATTTATTTTTTGGCGGGGAGGGGGGGGGGGGGAGTGAAGAGGAGGCAAGAGCCCTTCGCCCCCCCCCGTTTCCCTCTTTTCTTCTTATTATTCTTTCTTTCCTTTTATCTTCTCTTTCCCTTTCCCTTTTTTCCTTCTCTCTGTCTCCCCCAGCTAGGGCTGGTTTTGTTTACGAAGCGCCCGTCAGGAGAGTACACGATAGAGTACACGATAGAGTACACGATAAAATTGACGATATCGTGAACTTTATATCGTGAACTTTTCACGATAAAATTCACGATATCGTCAATTTCATAGTGAAAAGTTCACGATAAAGTTCACGATATCGTCAATTTCGTGAATTTCTTCGTGAATAATGTGCGATAAAATTGACGATATCGTGAATTTTATCGCATATTTTTCACGATTTAGTCTATTCGCGATGTCCCTTCAGGGCCACCATATGTTTTGACTAATACATGATGATAAAAATGTTGCCGGGAAACCGCCTACTAATTGATATATTTGGTAAATTAGTTTATCTATTGGTGTGTGAGAGATAAACGCATGTGTCGCGCACGTGTGCGTAGTTCCATATACATCTTTCTGTGCTTGTAACTTTACGAAGACTGGGCCAAATTTCTTATCATTTTGATGATTCCAGAACCTTGCAGTATACACCAATACTTATATGCTAGATGATCAACCTTTTCTGATCGATTCCACAACGTTTCTTTCACAATGCAATCGCATGACCATAACTGGTCTTTATCTTTAATACATGTTCTCAGACATGAAAACAGTGAGTGTCAACTGAAAAAAAGAACAATCATTTAAATATGTTTGAGCCCCTTCAAGAATTCCATCTACATTTACCCAAGACAGGGCTCAACACTAGCAGGCGCAAACGTTGTTCAATTTTCACCCAGGGCTCATGCATACAGACTGTAAAAAGTTTGTTCACACCCCCTCACCCCAGAAAAAATAGTGTGGAGCCCTGCCTAGGAGCACTTTGTCCAGTTCTCAGTCATGTTGAGGGAGGCTGTACATGAAGTAGTTGTTGATCATTTCTGTGGTTCTTTAGAGGATGAAATAACCACCAAAAAACATGTATATTTCCTACCCCCATCCTCCCAAACCAAGCTCATAGAGTTTTAGATATCCTGGGAGAGTCATCGTAGACTTTATTTGTTTTTTACCTGGAAGGAACTTGTCCGGTTGGTCCCATTCTTGAGGGTCATAGTGCATGGAGTGTGTGTTGATCATCACCACTGTCCCTTTGGGGATATGATAGCCACCTGCAAAGTCAACGGGAGCCAGAAACAATCAATGTAAAAAAAAACAATTTCATGATTTGTAGTTTTCATACACTAGCGGTCTGTTTTAAACACAGGTTCCATTTACAATGTAATAATGTTCAAAAGATACAAAACCATGACCTTTATAGACAGGTGGAAAGAATGAAAGGCAACACTGAGTGCAATTGAAACAAGTACACTTATCAATTGACAAAAGATGATGCATTCATATACATGTAGCTTATACATCACACATTTAATATTGATATTTGAAACAAACATAATATTATTTCAATAACTTTGCGGATGAGTTTGGGTCTATACATCAACATAAACTATTTGACCTAGATACATGTATGTATCATGGTATAATAAGCCAGTTTCGTAATGTAACCAAATTTAATGCATACGTCTTTGTGAAGTGCCTCAATACAAATTATTTCATTCACCTGATAAGAATAATAGTATTTCAATAGTCAGAATGCAACTGCATATATTAAGTTGTTGCCAGGTTGGACAAACATTATGGCTTGACCTACCTAGCAACACTTAATATATGCAGTTGCATTCTGACTATTGAAATACTATTATTCTTATCAGGTGAATGAAATAATTTGTATTGAGGCACTTCACAAAGACGTATGCATTAAATTTGGTTACATTACGAAACTGGCTTATTTGGGGAAAACATTTTCCCAATTTTCTGCATCCCACTGAGCCTACTGAAAATCCTCAAAAATTACCTTATCCCTCATGTGACATCATAGACAGCTAAAGAAAGAATAAGAATACACAGGATAATGCATTTAACCAGGGAGGTCAAAGAAAGGAGTGGAAACTCTTGTAATTTATTCAAACGGATTCGTGAGTTCTAAAGCATAACAATGGGATGTGTTACATTCCACTCGGCTTTGAAGTTCCATGCTCAGAGCCGCGCTTCCACTACGGGGAATTTCGGAGGCCAGGTACCAGTTTCACATTTACTATAAAATATTAAAGAAAGTGGCTTGATTCCACTCCTTTCTTTCACCTCCCTGATTTAACCATACCTACAAGCAATTGAAAATACTTTATACATGTACATGTATCGCGTCATAGCTTTTCACACAATACCGCCTCACAATCTTTCTCTCTAGGCAGTGCTGGAACATGCCTGACATAGCAGTAGCTAGTATATTTCAAAAGGTGTGCCCCATACACCCCATCATCCACCAATTAAGACGGCTTTTAATTGATGAAGACGCTTTTCTCATAATTACCAAACTCTGTATCCCTGGTAGTATTATGTGGAAGAGCGATGGGAAGTATACTGCTGTACCGCAACACTTCATAGAGGGTTGCCTCCGTGTAGGGAAGCTTCCCGCGGTCGTTGATGGCAGGAAGACGATCACGGCCGATGACATCATCGATCTCGGCGCGGATTTTTGCCTGGATTTCTGGGTAGGTCACTAGGAGAGCCATGGCCCAGTACAGGGTCTCAACGGTTGTCTGAGTACCAGCTATAAAATACAACAAATAGAGTTTTGACCTAAGCTTTGACCTTTGGAAACTCATCCTTTCTTCAAATTTTGAGATTTAATCGTCATCAATAAAAAGAAAATCATTGAAAATAAAATATTTTGTCCTATCAGAATTAACCTTTTTGGAGGGGTTAATTGACTGAGATGTAATTATTCTCAATATACATTTTTTAACCCATAAAGACATATCTAATAGGAACATCAAATTGTACTGAATTGAGTTACATTGCATAGATTTTACACAAAGGATTTTACATCCGGGATCCTAACATGAGAGAGTTAAGGGCAATCCAACCTATGTAATAAGTTCATTTGTATGCGAGCAGAAAAACAAACAAAAGATCACTACTATGCCAATCTCAAATTGACAAGCTCGTTTGTGCTTGATTGTGATGTATTCGCACCCGACGCTGGTGTGTGTTGCATACTGAAATAGCACTCATTTCTTATTTCTAATCTATCCTCAAGTATATTACATGCATGCCCGGTGGGGGGGGGGGGGGGGGGCTCGGCCCCCCTCCTGCCCTTTTAGAATTCATACAGGACCACCATGTTCCTGCAGGTGACAAGCTAATACATCAATCATACATGTACCTCCAAAGATATCAGAAATCGTCTGGAAGACGTGAGTATCGGTAAGTTTGTCCACATTCTCTCCTTCTTTCCTTGCGTCTTCTTGAGCTTTGAGAAGTAGACTGTAGAAATTATTGATGTTCTCTATGCAGAGGAATAGAAAATGCAACACATTTAGTAATGACTCAGTCATGTTCATGAAGTTGGACAAAGACTGTTTCATAAGACTTCTTGTCAATAACAAATGCTAAGTCTCTATGACAGATATACTCTCAGCCAATCAAATAACGAAATTTCAGTAGCTCACCCGGATCATAATTTTCTCTCGTTTCATCCACCTGCAAACGCAAGAAGCCCCAAAGCTTTTCTGTGAGTTCCTTTATCATCCTTGGACCGCTGGTGGGAATATACCTGGCCCAAGAGAACATGTCTGCTGCTAGACCTAATCCAAATTTTTCATTGAGGTCGTCGTTTGTGTCCATCCACTGCGCAACAGTAGGGTCTTCCAACTCATAACTGCAATCCAATAATGACATAAAGAAAATCAGTTTACAAACAAATTTTATTGTACCTTTTTGTAGGGATTTTGCCGGACACTTGCGGTGGACGCATTTTCACCAGGCGTTATTTCTTGAAAGATACACTGTACATGCACAGGATTAGGGTTCGCATTGCAACTGAATCCTAAAGTAGAATAAAGCCGCTGAGCAATGACAATGACAATTTATTCTTATGTCAGACACATTGGGGGTATTGGAGAAGTTTACAATCAGTTTGAATTTGTCAATTTAACACTGGAAAATACACAATTCAAATCGAATTAATGTTAAAGACCGTCACCACTACTGGGCCGGAATGGATTAGACCACACAGCGAGGTCACTGACATGTGGCTATCTCATCAACTCAGCTCTCAACTAACATAAGAAAATATCAAATAATAATAATAATAATGATGAAAAAACAAAACGATAATAAAAATTACAACGACAATTAATGACAAAATAAATGGAAGCAATTGAAAAAGAAAATTACTGGCACGAGAAAATTGATATTTGAATTTAATAATGAATTACTAAAAATATTCTTGCATCACAGTCGCATAAATATTTTTAAAATTAAATTTAAATAAATTTATTTGTTTTATTGCCTATATAAAGTTTCTTTCCAACTCAACTCAATCTATACTGCTGATTTAAATAAATCTATTTTCTTGTTGTCTATATAAAGTTTCTTTCCAACTCAACTAAATCTATACTCCTGATTTTTATGCTTCATGACGAGCTGATGTTAAAATTGGATTGCTTGCCTTTTTACTAAAAATTACTAAATAAAAACCTTGCTTACCAACAAGTACCAATACCGTTGGGCAGAACTCACCTTCGTCCAAAGCACATCTGTGCGAGTACGTTGTACATGATTAGATTGATGAGGACCTTAGGGTCTATTGGTTGTCCCTCTGTCATGGCCAACTTCTTATCAACCTTGGGGTAGACGCTGGAGATGAGATCCTGAAGAGGCTTGCCTGTTGCAAAATGCCTGGGAGCAAGGAAGAAAGAAAAGAACTAGTTGTCTCATCGTGTGGTTTGAGCGCTTGACTGGAAATGCCCTATTCATACGATGACATCTCAACAACAACAAATAAATAATAAGATATTTTTTAGTCCACTTTCATTATGCAACTTGTATGTGTAAACTATGTGTAGGTGTGCTTCTCGCTAGCGCACCGAGCTAGCGCTCCAGCTCAGTGGCGGATCCAGGAGGGCGGGGGCTCGGGGCCCGCCCCCCCCCCCGGGAAAATTTTCAGGAGCAAAAAAAAAATTAAAAAATGGGCCCCCCCCCCTAAGAAATCCTGGATCCGTGCCTGCTCCAGCTCCCTGTCCCACGTGTGACGTCATGATTCAGGACCCCTATATTTCGCTTTCAAGCCAGGATTTGAAAATCTGAGAAGGGTCTTGGAAAATGCTTATTGAAGTATTAAATTGATATTTACACAACCTTAAAGGAAAGGATTTGTGTTCAATGATATAGGCTTTCCTTACATGTATAATTTGCCCATTTTGTGAAATTTCTTCGTACAGTTAGGCCTACTTAAATACTGATAAAGTTACCTTTGGTAAATATTATTATTGTTATTACTAATATTAATTATAGACATGACATGTATTCTTTCTACACAGGTGGTCGCTAAAGCAGGTTTGACTGTATTATTTAAGTTTTACCTAAGAGCTGTGTGAGCCAATTTGCGATGAAGTTTCCAGGTCTCACTGTATGGGCTGAAAGCAATGTCCTTGAACCCATCCGTGAAAATTTCCACTGAAAATTGAAATACACGAAAACACAATATCAGTAATGCACGTAAGTTGATGTTTGCTTACATTAATTTTCCATACATTCATTTTAACCCCTACTGTGTGACGATCGACACTGGCCGATATTTTGTATGCGCTTTTGGTTAAACAAATTTGACTAGCATTAATATCTTGGTGGCCCAGAGAAAACTACAAGGATTTAAAGGCCCACTGCACTACTGGTAGCTACTTGCGCCCTCTATATAACAAACAATGCCTAATCGGTGACCATTGGTCCCCCATGATCCTCTTTTTCTTATGTTAACTGAGAGCTGAGTTGATGAGATAACCACCTGTCCAGTGACCTTCCAGAGCGGTCTAATCCCTCCTGTAAACTATATGGCAGATAAGCTTTAACAAAAAGAAGTATAACTACGGTGACTGTTGCATGCACCCGCCAACACCTCAAAAGTCAATTCCTTCTCTCTATTATAACTGTCTATCTCTCCCACATATAACCTCTTTGCTCTTTCATCTTCTATCTGATATTGCAAATATAATATCAGTATCTAAACATTACAAAAATTACATGATTAAAGATCGATGCAACAAAAGCAAAGCAACATTGTTATAATTAAAGAGAAGGTCGAGTTCTGGGAAGAGGTGAAAAATAATTTGTGAGCGTTATCATTTTTATTACGCAAGTGTGGAAGAACATCAGATAAGACACGTTCCCTGAAAAACATGGCTCTTCAAATGCCTTCATATTCTAAATATGTCATGTAACATCGTAAAACTCCAGGGTAGGATTTTTACGCCACATGTTCGTGTAGTCCCATATATATATCTTTCTGTGTACAGTGTTTGTAACGTTACCAAGACTTGGTCAAATTTCTTATCATTTTGATGATTCCAGAACCTTGCAATACACACAAATTCTTATAAGCTAGATGATCAACCTTTTCTGGTCGATTCCACACCGTTTCTTTCACAATGCAATCGCATGACCAGAACTCAACTTCATCTTTAAGTATAGCTGAATATAATAATAATAATATTTAGCTTTTATATAGCGCTTATCGCAAATGTCTCTAAGCTCTTTACAAATATATTATTACCCCGGGCAAGAAAAGCTGAAAGGTAGTGGATTTGGATGGCACAGTTATAAAAAGCCTTACATTAAGCACCAATATGTCCTGGCACTCCAACATTACTACCTCGGTCATAGCATCAAAGTGTTATGTTAATTACTATAATTATTCCAGTCATAGCATAGAGTATTACTTAATATCATACCAATTCTGTAACTGTCTGGTGCTCCAACATTATTACCCCAATCATAATTAAACAATAATATGTTGATATCCAACAACAATTATCCCTGTCATGGCATAAAATATCGTGTTGATATTTGATTACTAAATCCTATCCACTTACAAGAGTAGAAATCTGGACGACCAGCAAAGTCCACGCCCTGTTTGAGGACGGCTTCCTTGATCAATGCTTGACGGTTGAGGACTACCATCCATCTCTCTCCCGCCTTGAAGCCAAAGATATCACCGTACCTCTTGGCCCATTCCCCAAAGACAATCTCAGGAGAATCATTCATACCTAAAAACCAAAGGAGCATAACAAACATGAAAGATTTAACTAACAGTAAGATATATCAAGATGAGATTTCAAGAGAAGGAGCCGTATGATAAAACCTCAAACAATTACAGTAACAGCAAAAATAAGAAAGCAAAAAACTTAGTCTAGATACAAGTAGATCTAGAGTTCAATGTCAATGAGAAAATCTAGTACCAAACTATCGTAACATGTTTTTGAATACTTTCTTGTGAAAAGGAGCTCTTTTTGGATTTGGTATTGTAGAGCTATATTTTGAAGAGGACATTGTACTGAAGCATGTATGAAAGCATCCTATCTTCCCATATGTCTATTTGCATTCTGCTATCATCAAACTTCATTTTGCTCTTTCCGTCACAATCACCGTCACCATTCCCTCTACATGTTATCGTGCTATGTTCACTCTCCCCAACTCCTTTCACGTTTATCATTTCATGTTTATCCTTTGTTTTTTGTTCTTTACAGTATGATTGGTTATGCTTTATTGAATATTCATAGCAGCTCATTTATTATGCAATGCACGTAAATCTATGGATATCCATGTGCCTCCTTTTATTTACAAGCTCTGTTATTTGAATATTTATTAGTTACAGTTGTAATACAATGTACATGTAAATCCATGTAGATATATGCAAGTAAACCCCTAAGGTTGCAAGCATGTATAATCCCAGGCAGTTTCCCACATGCAAGCATGGAGTAAAGATGTGTTTGTAGTGTTCTCTGCAAGTTAGAGACCTGCCGTGCCTTAGCCGTAAAGGCCACCCTATAGTATCATAACTTCTAATTCTTCACAGACATCTGCATGACTTTGTATTTCACTGTTTTCCTTTCTCTTCTTTCAAAAGTGCTCTCTTGGAGTTGAAGTTTGTGGAGCTGAATGGCTCTCGTGACCCTGTGTATTTTTCTTCCATTATGTTGGAATATCACTAGAAGTTGGTGCCTGGTAAATTAGGATCTACATTTGACTTACTGAAGATGCTGCCAACGATAGGCAGGCCTCTTGGACCAGGAGGAAATCGCTTTGGCCTCACGATGGTCCAGAGGGCCAGCGTAGCAGTGACCACGCCAAGGGTTGCTGTGATGGTCAGGGCGTTAAACTGACCAAAGCCAGACTCTCCAGCTCCAAGGAGGTCAATCATGATGGATTCTAATCAATCTATATAAATTGAATAAAGAAGTTTTCATGGATTTACTTATATATATATATAGGCGTGAAGAAAATGGTCTAGGAACGTGAGACGTAGCTGTACTTAACAATTTTATTACGAGCTTTTAAGAGAATGAATGAGAGTGTATTATTACTTTGAAAATCGAAATTAACTCTATAAGACTATATAGATGCTGGTAGAGGTATAGTGAGCTCCATGCACCAGTGGCGGATCCAGGGGGGGGGGCCGGGGGCCCGGGCCCCCCCCCCCCTTGAGAAAAAATCATGTAAAATCACGTGATTTTTACCTTTTTTGGGGGTTGGGCCCCCCCCCCCTGGCGCTCAAGGGGGGGGGGGGGGGGTGCAAATTGAAATTTTTTTGAGGATCAAAAAAAAAAAATGTGCTCACTACCCCCCCCCCCCCCCCCCCCCCCCCCCCCCCCCCCCCCCCCACTGAGCGACTTTTCGGCCGGCGCGATTTTCAAATTTTCGGGAGCAAAAAAAAAAAAGTTGGGCCCCCTCCCCTAAGAAATCCTGGATCCGCGCCTGCCATGCACTGCAACTTGCAAGGCAAGGGAGCTGGAGCGGCAGCGCATGCGCAGCTGGAATAAGACCTCTTATATAATATGTTTTATTTAATTTAACTTCATTTCATTTATTTCATTCTCCATAAAAACATTAAAACATACAAACATGATATACAGATCAAGATCGATAACAATACAAATACAAAGGGAATAGGAGCAAACAAAATTTTATGGGAATGTGGGGTCAACAAAAAAGGCAATTAGCCTTATGAACGTCAACCCCTTAAAAAAATATACACTGTATTGTTGAGAAAAAAAGCAGAGAAAACCTAAACATCGATACAAGAGGGGGGGGGACGAAAGGAGAAGGGTAGGGGAGGGGAATACATTACAAAGTTTATTAATTGAAACGTGACATCATTTATTTTGAGATTGAATGCAATGATAAAAGATGGGAGTTTATACAATCGTTTAAAAATATTCATTGAATTAGAGTTTTTGATTTTAAACGGGATATTTTTCAAAAAAACTGGCCCTTTGAAAAAAATTGTATTTTTTGAAACATTTGTACGGATTTTAGGAAAATGAAAATTACCAGCATTACGAGTTTCATGAGAATGTATTTCATAATTGAATGTAAATTCACATGACATGTAATTTGGCAGTAAACCCTTGGAACACATAAACATAAATATAGAAATATTAAAATTATTTATATCATAAACATTTAAAAGCTTTAATTGTTGAAAAAGTGGCAAAGTGTGGGCATTGAACGGGGCTTCGTAAATTATTCGAACAGCCTTCTTTTATAATACAAATAATTTCGTCATAAAATAATCAGAACCATTTGACCATGTAATATTACAATAATTAATGAGTAGAATTATCAAAGCATAACACAACATAATCAAAATATATCGTGGAATTGTCTTAATCGATAAATAATATCAACTCCCTTAGCAACTCTATTACATATGACACCAATGTGCTCATGCCATGTCAATCTAATCATCGATGTAAAGTTTGTAAACACCGAGAAATTTAATTAGGTACTACTTTAACTGAAATTGCAGTCAGTGGAAGTTGTAGTCTCCACTCATTTCAGGTTGCAGTATTTTCAGAAGACTAGAGCAGATCGAGTAAAGCAGATCGCAATATTGAGGCCTATACCGTGTGAGTCAAAAAAAAGTTTACACCTAGAAAATTGGTAATTATTTTAAAACTCAACTATGAACAGTAAATTATTATACATCTTATGAAAGAGCGTTTTATCCCAAATCATTTGGTATCATATTTGTGTGGTATGTGTTCACGCTTGGATGAACAGGAGGCATTGTTTGCGAGAGTGCAAAAATCGACTTGCGGGAAGCTCCAACACCGACGCCGCGGCACAGTAAAGCATATGTATTTTTAATTTTGTAGGCAATGCTAATCAATGCGTATTAGTAGTAGTATTACCTGTAAAAACTAATGCCAGTATCATTATACATACCCTGACTCAGCTGACGCACAAGTTTAACCAGCGAGATCGAACGAAAAAGAAATTAGTTTTTACCTACCTCTTTTAGAAGAATGATAGAAACTTGATTAATGATATTGTATAATCAAGTCTCACCTACGTCACACTGGACACGTCACTAGGCGATACGTGTCTGCATCTGTGTGGACCTATGTCTGATAACAACAGTCAATGTTTGTGCGCTTTGAGACCAGGGAGGTTTTCTGATTCACAAAGGTGGTTTGAACCCCCGGGGGGGTTTTGTACCATTGTTGTGAATTCGGGCCACTAAGTCTCACCTCCCTCTTTAGAAATAATGCCGAATATATACCGTTTGTTTACATATTGATCGTCAACTCTGTACTACGGCAAGCAGCCAGTGAAAACGAACTCGTTTAACTTAGAGATTATGGGAATACAAGCATAAATTTAAACAAACAGAACTTTGTTAGTCCTGGCTCATTTTTTCTGATTGAGATGTCATATGAAAGGGCAGAAATTGAACTTTCTAGAAATGCTATTTTCTCTGTGAAATTCAGATACCGCCCGCCAAATGACTTTTTGGTTTCCTCTCTTCAATTTTTTTTAAAATCACTCGATCATACATGAAATAAGCTCCTATAATGAGGTGCATCAAATGACAGAGGAGGATCTAAGCTTTACAAATAGGTGTCATTTATTAATTATAATTGTGATTAAGTTATGATAAAACATCGATAATTCTCGGTTCCTTTTTTTTTTTGGACGCACTATAGACAATTGTTTTCTAAATTTGTACATTTAACAACTCCGGTGTGTTAATAAGATGAGACGTTTCGTGGGAGCATTTATTACATTAAAAGAATATCTTCATTAGGTTTAATCTGCTCATTGGCAAGGTCCTGAATGTTTACCACTTCATTGTGATCTGTAATATGTGGAATAGTGACGGAAACAAAGGTTTGATCTTTTATATGGAAATACTGATACTCTCCCATGTTTTGCACGTCCTCTGCACCTGCATAAAATCAGCATTGCATAATTCGTTTAGATTACAGGCGGGAAAAAATGGAATAATATTATTATCAAGCTATTCAGTGGCGTAGGCAGGATTTTTTCAAGTATGGTGTTTGAAAATTGAGGGGGGGGGGGTAGTGAGCAATGTTTTGTTCTTCTTTTTTTTGCCCCCGAAATTTGAGGGGGGGGGGGGCTTAAGAAGCATCAATTTGTTAACCCCCAAAACACCCCCCCCCCCCTACGTACGCGCCTGAAGCTATTATTAACCAGGGAGTTGAAATGATTCTGTGTGCGTCAACTACGTGCTGCCTGGAATGAGGTTGGCACCTTATTTTTGGATTGCATGAACAGGATTTGAAGCTATATTGAGTATTGTGTGGAATGACCGAACATTTTCAGAATATACAGAGTCGACACGAAAGTTAAACAGTAAGGTTCAGACAAAGGGGCGGCCGAGCGACTTCCAAAGTGGGGGGGGGCACCAAGAAAAATGGCACTTGTCAAAGTAAAAGAGGCGCCTCTCAGATTTGAAAAGGGCAATCATCAAAGGTGAAGGGGTCACTTATTAAAAGTGAAAAAGGGCAATTCTCGTACCTGAAAAGGAGCACTTACTATATGGACACTTTTTGCAAATGAAAATGGGAACTTGTCGAAGGAAAAGGGGCACGTGTGGAAATAAAAGGGGCACTTATAAGAGGTGAAAAGTGGAATTAAGTGGCACTTTTACAAATTAATGGGGGCACTTGTCAAAGTAAAAAGGGCACTATTCCTATGTGAAAAGGGGCACTTCCTACAAAGTTAAAGGGGTACATTTCCTAGGTAAAAAGGGGCACTTTTCGGTGCTTAAAAAGTGAGGGGGGCACTGTGCCCCCCCCCCCTACGGCACGGTGACCTATATTATCAGAAAGCAATTCCCTCTATTTGAATATGTTATCAGCTAAGAATAACAAGCTAGTTTTCAAGCGCCTTGACAGGCAGGCACCTCATTTTGGATATATTGCAAAGTTCACGGGTAATATTGCCAGTGTGCCGATAATTCCAATAATTTTAGGAAATAGACTTATTACTCATTTCATTGATAACATTATTATTTTGAAATAGACGACAAATACAATAATTTTCTAGTGAGAAGCATATATTTCCTTTTTCTTACCTCTGTGACGTGCCGTAAAGTATTTTGGTGACAATAGTCAAATTACTGACTAATCGCCAATAGGCCTAAACCAAAACACAACAACAACAATAAGAAGCTGAACTTGTAGTCGCTGCGGCCCGTTCGCGCATATTTTTTTTACACAACTGTTTAGCCATTTTCGCGAAAAAACTTCAAGAAGTGCTCTGGTAAAAGAGTCTAAGTCGTCAGCGCACTTAAATGTGCAAGCACGTACACCCAGTGAAGGGAAGATGATAGACAGGGGAAAAGAAGGATAGTGGAGAGGATATGGAGAAGGAAAAACAAGGAAATAAATAAGGAAAGAGAAGAGGATAAGTCAAATGAAGAACATATAAATATATAATTGAAGAGCTGAGAGGATCATAGATCTAGACTCTTGAAAAACAGGGAAATACATTAGAGAAGGAGAAAGGGAATCTATCAGATTAAAACAAAGAAATAGATGACGAAGGAGAAAAGGATAGATTGAAGGAGAAACAAAGAAATACATTAAACAAAAGAGAAGAGGAATAAAGGAGAACAAAAGAAATACATAACGAAGGAAAACTGGGGGGTAATTTGAAGGAATTAAAACAAAGAATTATATAACGAAGGAGAATAAGTGCAGATTGAAGGGGAAAAAGAAATACATGACAAAAGAGAAGAGGATAGATTGAAGGAGAACACAGAAATACATAATGAAAAGAGAAGAGAGGATAGATTTAACCCGAAACAAATAACGAGTATGTACACATGCATGTGCAGCTCCAGCAATCCAACAAAACTGCTAAGGGTAATGCTAGACTCTGTCTCTAGTCGTTTGCACAGTATATTTGACTGAAGTGGCTAAACAGTTGTGTAAAAAAATATGCGCGGCCCGTTCCTAGAAACCGTCATAAGTCTAACTTCTTGACTATCCCATTGAAACGCGTGTTAATTCTATAACACACGTTTCAATGTGATAGTCAAGAAGTTAGACTCATGACGGTTGTTTCTAGGAACGGGCCCCAGATTCATTCAAGGAGCGCGTCAAGTCCTCTTCAGCTTCGAGTCTTATCTTGTCCTCGATTCTGATATATAATAGTCTAGTGTCAGCTCGCTCATGACTCTGTGAATTCCAAACTACGGAATCCTGTACATAAATTTCTCCTCGCGGAGCACTAGAGTCTACACAAGCCCAAATCTGACGCCGAACTGGAGTGTTTCAAGACACTTTCCGAGCTGGTAAGTGCAGGCTCGGTCCCACATACTGATATATGTGCGATGGCGTCGAGCTCGCTCGAGTAGACTTACATGTAACTCCGGGAAGCTCCAACACTGGCGCGCAGGCGTCGGAGCTTTGGGTTCGTGCATGAAAAAAACATTCTAACACTCAGTAACAGCGGGTTGGGGTAACATTATCTCAAAATATGCAAAGGGAGTACTTACAATTTTGTCTTCATCATGTTCATCATGTTCATAGGTTGCTCGACTCCTCTGAGCATATGGATGACCACTTGAAATTAGATCTATAATTTGAAGAAGTCTTTGATGGGAAAAAGGGAATGATTCTTCGTCCTATCCAGACGATTCTTCCATGTTGTTTCGTCAATTCAACCGGCGCAGAGAAAGTACGCACCACCGCGCATGCGTACTTGTGCATATATACTTTCTCTTCGCCGGTTGAATTGACGAAACAACATGGAAGAATCGTCTGGATAGGACGAAGAATCACCCCCTTTTTCCCATCGAAGACTTCTTCAAATTATAATTTCAAGTGGTCATCCATATGCTCAGAGGAGTCGAGCAACCTATGAAGACAAAATTGTAAGTACTCTCTTTGCATATTTTGAGATAATGTGTGTTAGAATGTTTTTTCATGCACGAACCCGAAGCTCCGACGCCTGCGGCGCCGGTGTTGGAGCTTACCAGTGTTAGAGTAGACTAGATCTATAGCAAACAATGTCCAATCGGTGACCATTGGTCCCCCATTGTCCTCTTTATCTAATGTGAATTTAGAGCTGATTTGATGAGATAACCACCTGTCAGTGACGAGTGACCATGCAGGGAGGGCTAATCTAGTGCAGATATTTATCGATTTATTTCTAGGATTTAACAATTAAAGGTAAAGACCAGTTATGGTCATGCGATTGCATTGTGAAAGAAACGTTGTGGAATCGATCAGAAAAGGTTGATCATCTAGCATCTAGCATCTGCAAGGTTCTGGAATCATCAAAATGATAAGAAATTTGGCCCATTCTTCGTAAAGTTACAAGCACTATACATAGAAAGATGTATATGGGACTACCCTATATCTCTCACAGACCATGAGAGAAACAAATTTACCAAATATATGAATTAGTAGGCGGTTTCCTGGCAAATTTTGTATCATCATGTATTAGTTAAAACACATTCTTTCACATGATTGGTAATGAAAGCTTCCATTTCATTTTTTGAAATTGGGGCGTTTCCAATACTGGTCTTTACCTTTAAAGCCCTTTTTACTTGATGTATCATGTATGTGTCACACAAATGCAGACCTGCCTAGAATCACACATAGCTGCATTACTATCCTGGCTGTGTATTAAAAAATAAAAGCTGTGCTATTGATTCTCAACATTTCAAACACCACTGTACAAAATTCAACTGATTTCACTCAAAATCGGTACTTTAGTGACAATTGATGTCACCTAAATAGCAGTAAAATACAATTTTTTTTCAACTTACCGATGTTAGAACAATTTAAGAAAATTAAAATTGTGAGTCTTGTCGATCAGCCGCATCGGTATGATTGTGTGCATTTACGTGTTATGAGCATATCTCTATTCATGTATACAAATGCTGCCTATTAAAGGTAATACAAAGTTTTGGGAAATTTTGAAAATTGGGTGGATAGTGATTCTTTACAATTTTGATATATTTGGATGCCCCTGGGATGTATTATAAGCACTAGAAAACTTAGCCCCTATACTACTTCTGCTTTCGAGAAAAATTGAATATAAAAATTTACCGGTGCTCCCGGTAAATTTTGATAAATTTCAAATAGCGCCTACGGCCATACAATGGTAGCTGCGACCATGAAAATCTTAGAATATGTAGTTGTCATATATAATTCCCGAACGGGAACAACTAATCGGTAGATTTTAGTCAAGACATATTGTTTTATAGCCTGATTAATATCTTGACCTTGAGAGGGAGCTTTACAACATAAAGAGTTTATTATTTACAATTTCATAACTTTAGACTCGATTTCAAACGCGACAACGATCACTGAATATTGTAGGACGGCATATGCATCCAATATGTTCATTTGAACCAAATTCATGACCCCATACCAAAACTTTGTATTACCTTTAACAAGTAGTGCAGTGCTAGAGGTCAATATGCATTAGCATTGACTCTCTATGCTTTGCTGGAGTGCCTAGAATGGGAAACACTTGAACACAGGAGGGAAAAAAGTTGTCTAGTTATGCTGTACAAAATCAACAAGGGAAAGGTGGGCCTAAAGCAAAAGGATTACATACAAGTATCAACAGGGTCAAGGTTAAGACGAAACCACCAATACTCATTATAAATCCCCTTTGCCAGAAAGGATGTTTATAAATACTCCTTTTTCCCAAGTACTGGATGATCATGGAATGCCCTAGACCAGCAGTCTGTTGGGGCTTTAGAAATGCACTCTAGCATGGACCACCTGCCATACAGGTTAGCGACATGCAGAATACCGTCCTGCTGACTTCAATTTCAGAAGATTTAGTCCTGGAGAGAACTTGTAAACCGGATTTAAACTGCTCTCAGGTTAACTAAACTACCGTCATTAACGGTGTATAAACCGCCCTTGTGTATTAAGCGCACCTCTCTTTTTCGCCCTTTAAATTTTTTTTTTTTTTTTTTTTTTTTTTGGTCGACTTTGTCGGCAGCAAACCAGGTCCGTGTTGAAAAACCACGCAGGAAGGCCTTTCATTTTAGTGCGAGGTGCAGCTGAATGTGTAAGATCATTAATGTAAATTAAAAAACAGTAGAGGACCTAGGATAGAACCTTGTGGTACGCCGTGTAATAGAAGAAAAATTGGAGGAATTATTATTATAAACTACAAACTACATATTGAGATCTATCAGAAAGATGACAGAAAAATTTGATTGTTGTTCTAGTTTCCGAGTGGTGAGTCAACACACCGATTACTGAGCTGTGAGACATTGCCAGGCATAGCGCATAGCGGAGGGGCATAAATTGAAACTTAAAAATACTTTCTTTTTTTTTAAATTTAAAAAAAAAAATTTTTTTGGTGTACCGTTTATAAACCGCACCCCCGACTTTGAAATTTTTTTGGTGGCAAAAAGGTGCGTTTACTACGACTCCTTACATGGTAAAACAATAAACCTACTAAATGTCTGTAATCTGTTATATTTTGTTTATATATTGTCTCTTGTCTCTTGTTGTAGATCTGCTGTGAAGTGAAACTTTTGATGAAAAATGGCATCAGTCAATCAGGACCAGCAACCACTCAACTTGGCTTCAAGAATGGATTTGCCTAATCCAGTGAGTCTTGATGACATGAAAGGAATATTTGCTTCTCAAAATGTTGATCTGGATGCTAGAGACGAACTGCATGGTTGGTCACCTTTGATGATCGCTTGTGCTAAAGATAAGAAGGAAATGGTCCAGCTCCTCCTTGATCATGGAGCTGACCCCAATGCAAAGGGCTCCAAAGATGGAAACACACCGATGCACTGTGCTTCCGTGGGCTACAAGTGTACAAATATTCCACTTTTTGCTAGTGATCACTGTAATGGCTGGGACATACAGTCAAGAAAGGAGATCCTCAGACTTCTCATCAATCATGGCGCAACACTGACCTGTAACTCAAATGGACTTGATCCTCCTTGCATCGCAGCAATTTACAACTTCCAAGACATCGTTGAATTCTTTATCCAGGGGAAAACCCATGAATTGCAATTGTGCAATGCAGAAAAGGCAAGAGTTTATGAAATTCTTGGAGTGGCACTGGGCCTTAATACCAACCTCAATGCACCTGCTTGCACAGGTGAGAACCACCCATGTACGCATTTCTGCAAAGCTCTGTCTATTCACGAAGAAAGTGGCATTACATCCTTTAGAAATCATGGAAAGTCTGACGCAGCTGCTTCTTTCTCTCTTTTCTCTGAAACAACGGAATGCAAGACTCAAGAAGACTGGGAAAACATTAAGTCAGATCATTCGTCTTTAAAGAACCAGTGCTTCTTGGTTGCAGAAAGAGTGCTCCCAGAGGAAATGAAAGATGGCTACATCTTGCAAAGAGTTTTCCAGCATGGGCTTGATGGCGTGATGTTTCACAAGGGAAAGATCCAGGAAACACTGTCTCAAGGTTGTCAGATCTGTAGAGAATCAATACAATTGGAGCTGGAATCAAAACTTGAGCTTGGATCAGTCCTTTTAGAGATAGTGAATGGTATCCGTTTCACAAAACTTGAAGATGAAGTATTTGATGAGTGTTACAAGTTGCTAGATCTTTGTCTTCAGGTGTTTAGTAAAGACTCCCAGGACCATCTGCACAAGATGAACTGGCATTTGGTGAATGAAGTTGGCAATTTATTGTTCGATATTGCTCTCTATCATGACTGTGCCAAGTCAAAGAATATGTTTGAATCACTGCTTCAGTTTGGTGAAAGAATGGTAAGAGTTATTAGAATACAAATTGGTGAAAAATCTTGTGCATCAATCACTCGCTGTATCTTGGAACGCATTGATGAATTATATTGGAGGTCTTCCAAAACAGGGGGAAGGAGGAAGAGTACCGACGAAAGCAAGTGAAAGAGAATTGTATGAAGCACTTGATCTCAAGGATGGTGCGATTTGAAGATGCAACTCGAATCGTATTCGGGAAATCAATGTTGCATTCGTTACTGGGTGATGGTCATTATGCCAAACAGCATTTCACAAAGGAAACTGCTCTGATCCTCATCCGCAATGGGTGTGATATTGAAGCGCAAAATGCTGTTGGTTTGACAGTGGAAGAGATAATCTGTAAAAGTAGCCGTTTTGATCCAGATGCACCAGAAAATGAAGAGCTAATGACCCTGTTATCCCCACCAAGAACAGCGTTACCTCTCCAAGAAATAGCAGCAAGAACAATCCTTCGCTGCAAGATCCCGCATGAGGGCATAGTACCAAGACATCTGTCTGTTCTTGTTACAGGGGAAGTAGAATACTCAGACTCAGAACTCTTCCTAGAAGACTCTCCTAGTGACTGTGAGTCAAGTGCAAGTGAGTATTGTGGATGGTATAATTCCAGTCATGATGGTAGTGTATCTGATGGTTTTTAATGTCTGATTGACATGATACTCCCTGCCCTTGGTCCTGTCTCATTAAACTAATAATAAATGCTCGGCCACTAGTAATACACTTGCCCTCCCTTGAACCAGTAAACAAATAGATGATAGGCTTAGCGCTTTTTAAGTTACTGCCCCAAAAGCCTGAACTGCCATACTCTTGCAGCTTTCAAGGCATGTCTGCATCTGCAATACATCTTTTCTAATTTCTTTTTATATTCCTCTTTGTAATCAATGTATGCTTTGTTCGTATAGTAATGTTCTTTTGCTTTGTAAGTATTTTCTTTTTATGCGCTTTGTATCTTATGAAAAGGCACTTTATAAATGAAATGATATTAATATTATCATATTTAGTAACAGCTGTTACATTTCAAATTTGCTAACGGCCAATCAAATGCAATGATTTTACTAGCTCATAATAGTTAATTGTAACTTGTTGATAGACATTTTATGAAACAGGGCCAAGATTTAAAAGCTAATACCTTCCCCGACATGGGGTATTCAGATAAAAAGAATTCAGATGGTCCTGAATCTTCATGCAAAGTAATCATATCGTGAATTTTCTTGTTTGTAGCATAATATGGATGGGCCTCATGATACACTTTCCACAGCTGTAAACATGCACTGTACGTATGTACAGTTTGTCATTTTAAACCTTGTGAAAATGTTGCAGTCCAATCAGATTAACATCGATAGGATTAGATTAAATTTTCAAAAGTGAATATACATGTATGTCCACTTTTAGGTCTCCCATGGTCATATGAATAGGGAAATTGAATGGGGGGGGGGGGGGTTAGAGAACAATCTTTTAACTATCTCCAGCTTGTATGTTTGTGGATAGGTGTCCATTCAAGCTAGATGAAAACAATGAATGATACCAAACTCCCGCCCCTGAATTTTAAAAAGAACATTTTCTTGTGGCATTTTCTAAAGAAACAGACTTATGAATATGACTCAGCTGAATGTCTTCACAAATCCTTGAAATAGATTGTTTCCTTAATCATTGTTTATATATAGTTATTTTTATTTTAGAAATCTCTGTTTCAAATTAGATAACACGTAAAAGATATTTATTAAAGGAGAAATGTGTATTGTATTAGACATACATGCATATTTTCGAGAATTTGAATTCTATGAAATAAACTGTGATCTGCCATTACTCTTGCAAATTATTTTCTCTGGGCTATATTTTCTCAAAGAGGCGATATGAGCCTATTAGGTAAACGTTGAATATAAGTGATAGGAGGAATCGCCCTTGGATTTCTCTAAATACTTACATGTGTGTATATATACATGTATATACACACACTCTTAATGAGCGTATAACTTGAGTTATTACATCAAGGCATGTATTACGTCAACAGAAAGTTGTTCTTGATGTTAATTTCAGACTATCTGTAAAGGAGACAAATTCATATATGCATGTATATGTATTTAATGAGTTATAAGCTGTAATACCTGGATCAAATAAATATTGGCATTCTGGAGGGTGTTTTTGCCTCACACTGTTAATATTATCTGTTGATTTTATTGTGTATTTTTGATAAAATAGTTGTTATTCAATTAAGCAATCGATTGTACGGTTTATAATTATTATTCAGCTACGTGTACTTTACTTTGTGTCTTTATTCAGCCTTTTTTTTACAATCCATTTTTTGGGAAAACTTTGTTGAGGGGTGCTGATACCAGATTCTGTTGTATATTATGGACACAATTGATATACCTTCATCGTATACATGTAAATGTTCCCAGTATACTTACATGAAATAGTAGGGAGGGGGAAGAAGAGAGAGAGAGAGAGAGACGAATAAAACTGATAAGAGAGTTGGACGAGAGAGGGGGGGGGGGGGGGGGGTTGGAAAGCAGAGAGAGAAAGATGGTTGGATAAGGGATTAAAAGAGTGCCAGGAAGATAAAGAGGAATAACGTAGGGAGATACATGTACATGTATTATACAGATAGAGATATTATATTACATGGAAAAGTAGAGCGAGAGAGAGGTATCTAGTTGCGTGGTAATCAAAAACTTCGCTTTCTTCTTTTCGTTTTTCTCTTTTATCATCACCATAATCAATAATTTATCATTGTTCTATATTATTATTATCATTATTATTATTGAGTGTAACGAGCCAAGTAATAAGGACGCATGATTCAGTTTCAAGGATTCCATTTGGTTCCATCTTTATTGGTTCAGACTTGAACAACAGTTTTCTGTCTCTCTCAATATCCATGAAGGTCCTGCAAGGGACACACCCAAATCCAACATGGAGTCTTATATATCTCTAATCACATCCTTTCTCAGAGCCCACCAAGACATTTGTCTCTCTACTATTGACCAGCATACCTTCTCTGCATACACTGCTCATGTACATTTATTTATATATTCATGCCCATGCGTGCTCATTAAAGTGTTTACCATTGTTTAAGTCATGGCTTCCACAAGGTGCAGTGGATATGTGCATTTTAATATACACACACTCAAGAAAGCAGTGGATACATGTACTTGTATGCTGGCGCGGATTTCTTAGTGGGGGGGGGGGGGGGGCAAATTTCAAATCAATTTGAAATTCAGTAGTGTGCTGAAATTTACAAATCGTGCCGGCCAATATTTCGCTCAGGGGGGGGGTTAGTGAGCACTAATTTCTTTTTTTTTTTGCTCCCGAAAATTTGCAATCGCGCCGGCCGATAATTGCTCAGTAGGGGGGGGGGGGGGGGGTAGTGAGCACTAATTTCTTTAGTCCCGCCCCCCCCCCCCCCAGGATCCGCCACTGAATATTCCCCACTTCTGTAAATATGAGCATTTTATAACCCGAAAATCAACCTAATTAATGCTCCCAGTTAAGATGGAAAGGTCAGCATTTGATGACCTGATAGTCAATATCCTGACCATTTTGTTTAAGCAAGCTTATATTGGAGGCAATATTCAGGGGTATGGTAAAGGTGTTCTCGGCTTGTTCTTGTTAGTCTCAATGAAATGTAAAAAAGTTGAACCTGAAATGAGTCGACTTGTTTCATTTCGAAGCAAACGAGAAGGGTCGGGGTATTTTTCTCTACCCTCAATCCAAGACGCGACGGTGAAATTATAATTCAGAAGTCTTCCCTAGTATTTGGGTTGTTTTAGGGATCCGGTAACTTTGTATCAGATTCTGAAACAAAATCCTGGATTTAGCTAATGCTGCAATGATAATTGTAAATTTTAAAGGCACACTGTTCTACTTGTAGCTACTTGCTCCCTCTGTATAGAAACTTCCCCAATCGGTGCCTGTTGGTCCCCTATGATCCTCTTTTTCCTTTTTTAAATGAGAGCTGAGTTGATGAGATAGCCACCTGTCACAGTGACCTCGCTGGCTCGCTTGGTGGTCTAATCCCTTCTGGCTGAAGTAGTAAAGCCTGCCTTTAAGGTCAGTCAGGAACTCCATGAATTTTACAAGCCGATCGCCTTTCTGATTATCAAGATATTTATGATTGGAAATCGAAACCAAATTTGCGTTTGTCAAACGGTTTTCATAACACTACAGTCTATTGGGGAAAACGAGTATGGTAAAACCGGTCACTCAAAGATTTTTGACACCCCGCCACTAAAGGACTTTATGCCAGAGCGCAGGCACGGATCCAGGATTTTTTTTTTTTTTTTTTTTTTTTTTTTTTTTGGGGGGGGGGGGGGGGCCAAATTTGCAGATCACGAACGAATTGGCGTGGGTCCAGGGGGTGGAGCCCCAGAAGCTCAGGGGGTATAGGCATTTAATTACGGTCAGATGAACATTATTTGATACCTTATTTATGACACTGGCAGGACACAAATTGGTGGGGGGTTCAGGGGGCAGAGCCCCCAGAAGCTCAGGGGTTTTATACATTAAATTACCGTCAGATGAGCATAATGTTGATACCTTGTTTGTGACACTGACAGGTCATGAATTGACGTGGGGTCCAAGGGGTTTGAAACCTTATTTGTGACACTGGCAGACACAAATTGGTTTGGGGTTCAGGGGGCGGAGCCCCGGAAGCTCAGGTGGGATAGGCATTTAATTACGGTCAGATGAGCATATTTTGAAACCTTATTTGTAACACTGGCAGGACACAAATTGGTGTGGGGTCCAGGGGTCGGAGCCCCAAGAAGTTCAGGGGTTTTATACATTGAATTACCCTCAGATGAGCATATTTTAATACCTTATATGTGACACTGACAGGTCACGAATTGGGGTACAGGGGGTTTTAGGCATTACATTACGGTCAGATGAGCCTCCAGGTGCCTGCCTTATAGGGCCTTAGGTGGAATCCAGGGGGCAGAGCCCCCGAAAGCTCAGATGAGCAAATGTTGACACATTATTTTGTGACAAAGGCAAGTCACTATTCTTTCTTTCTTTCTTTATGAATTTGCCATTTTCCAACAAACGCATAAAAAAGTATAATTTACTTAACATTGAGGAACATTTGTAAATCACCGGTATCGAATTAGAAATAAACCACGTTTGAATTATATTTGGGGGCATCTGTCACAAAAGGGGGAGGCAAGGACCCTCCCCTCCCCCCCCCCCCGAACTAAAACATGTTGGCGAAAATTTTTCAACTGATATCCACCTTCTTTTCTTTTCTTCTTCTTATTTTTTTCCTTCCCTTTCCTCTTTTCCGTCTTTCATTCCCTTTCCTTCCTTCTCTCTTATTTGTTGATGGGGGAGGGGGGGGGTAACAGCTGGGAGGCAACGCCCTTTTGCCCCCCCCCCCCCCCGATCTCCTTCTTTTCCCCCTTTTCTTTTCTTCTTCCTCTTCTTTCTTTCCCTTTCTCTCCTCTTTCCCTTCTTTTCCTTCTCTCTCTCTCCCCCTCTCTCTCTTTTTTGCGGGGGGGGGGGCAAGGCCCGCTCGGCCCCCCCCCTGGATCCCGCCTGCCAGAGCGTCAGCATGGGACTGTACAGCAATAGGTGACAACATGTGTCGTAACATCCGTTTTGGCAAATATTTTGTTGAGCATTGCGTACCGACTTGTAGGAAGCTCTCGGCTTTAGATCAATTATGATATCGAATGAAGCGGCAAAGCTGGAAATGGATGCACATGGAATAGTTTGAAATTCTCAATGTTATGAATCTCGGTATTGATTACGATCAATAGGTCCAAATTTTAAACAATGTGATTTTTTCTAGTTCTCAAAATCTCATCTAGTAAGCTACACATCTTCAAGATGGGCTTAAGTTACATGAAAACAGGAAGACTCTTTATTTTCTTAACATTTTTAATGATTTATGGATAAGAATCGGGTATCTTGTTTTCAAACGTTATTTTGTACATCTCCAAGCTGAAGTTTATGACCAATCGCAAAGACGTGGTTCGATAAATTGTATAAATAGGGAGTGAAAGTTTGGTGGAATTATCAGTTGCTTCTCTCACAATTCGAGAGCAGTCAAAAAAGCTGTAACCAGTTTTCTTCTCTGGAGTAGAACAAAGCAGTGGTGAGTATTTCTAATTCAAAGTTTGTTATTCTTTAAATAAATGTAATTGCTACACAGTCATGTACATTATCTGTGCTTCCACAGTACCCACTGAATACTTACTTCTTTATCTGTGTTACTTTTTCTCTACAGATTTCAACCATGAACCACATCAATGTATTAGCCGCCTTGGGTATTGTGCTGTACCTCGCAGTGCTTTCGAAAGGAGCACCCTGTAAGTTTAACTTTTTTCATAGCAATCTAAAACGTGCAGACACGTGAAGCTGCCGTATCCTATATGGTCATTATTATTAATTAATTTAGGCATGAGTGACTTAGAGCTATAGTCGGAGTGTTAAGTGATTATTTTCATAATAATGTATATAAATATATGAATGTATATTTTTAAACAATTTTACATTCAAGTTTGTTACAAACCTCTATAATTAGTTTTCATAATATTGTAAATTGCAAGACTTGTCAGTAGAGATGTCAAAACACTAAAATGTGCATATTAGCATGGTTTTTTGATGATATGAATTGTGTTTGATTAGCAAAATGAGATTGTAATTACACTTTGTCGATGCCTCATATCTTCTATAGAAAAAGTAACAAAACAGATCTCCTCTCCTGCCCACAGATTTAAACAAATGTACACGAGGAGTAAGCGGTACCGTTTGCGGCGATAACGGTATTACGTATGGTGATGCGTGCGACGCTGATGACGACGACGATGACACGAATGGAAACGGAGGGGTACAGGTTGCACACTCAGGACCATGCGGAGGAGGAAGTCAATCTCCTGCAGCTCCTCGTGCTCCTGCACCGCAAGCTCCAGTTGTACCATACGCTCCCGCTGTTCCTCGTGCTCCTCCTGCAAGTGCTCCCAGTGCTCCATATGCTCCTGCTGCTCCTTATGCTCCTCCTGCATCTGCTCCAAGTGTTCCATATGCTCCTGCTGCTCCTTATGCCCCTGTTGCTCCTTATGCTCCAGGAGGCGGTGCTAATGGTGATACCAGCGGAGAGACCGGTTATGGACAGTCGCCTTCTGTAGGATATGCTCCTGCGGCTCCTGCTGTTGGTTATGCTCCTGCCGCTCCTGCTGTAGGGTATGCTCCTGCGGCTCCCGCTGTTGGCTATGCTCCTGCTGCTCCTGCTGTTGGTTATGCTCCAGCTGGTACTGATGTCGGCTATGCTCCAGCGTCAGGCGATTCTGGCTATGATTACGTTTACGAAGATGACAGCGACAGCAGTGAAGAAGGATACGGCTACGAGTATTATGGTATGTTTGTAACAAGTCGGCATTTAGAGGTCGCTCTTGCAAAGTCAATCTTTAAAGACCATCAATATTAAACAAACATTCTTAATTCAATATGGAATCTTGTATAGGATTAGCTTTTATCATGATCCCATTTTCAGCCCATATGCACTACAAGCTCGATACCGATAATGGATTTAAGTAGGCCTACATGCCTACACGTATGAATATTCTTAAATTCTAATGAGATTACTTTTTATTTTTGCCTGAAATAAAAGATATTGTTCGGAGTAAGAGAAAATTTAACAATTGTGGATGTATTTCATGCAGGGAACGAAGCTGTCCCCGCAGGTCCTGTTGGCTTTGCTCCAGCTGCTCCAGGTGGAACTGCATACGCTCCAGGTGCAGGCGGAACTGGTGGGTGTGGTGGAACTGACAGCGGAGAAGGATGCGATGGTGCAGCAGGCCCAATTGGCTTTGCTCCAGTTCCAGCTGGACCTCCTTTCGCTCCATCTAGTCCAGGGTACGCACCAGGTGGACCTTCATACGCCCCAGTTCCAGAGGTAAGCGCTGATGGATGCGACGATTCTGGTAGCGGTGAAGGATGTGATGGTGATGAATCGGATGGCGAGGATAGCGGAAGTGTTGAAGGAAGTGACTCTGCTGCTCCTGGTGGTGCTGTCGCTCCAGGAGGTGCTGCTGCTCCCGCTCCAGGGGCTCCTCCTGCTCCAGGACTCCCATATGCCCCTCCAGTTCGTGCACCACTTCCAGCACCACCAGCACCTCGCGCTCCAAGTGCCCCAGTGAGGCCCTATGCCCCTGCTCCTGCTCCCCAAGCTCCGTCCGGACCTAGTGATTCTTCAGAGAAACAGGGTGACACCCCAGAGGCTCCAAGGGCTCCTTCCCCCGCCGCTCCATCCGCACCGAGGGCACCCGCTCCTCCTGCTCCACCAGCTGCACCTGCTGCACCTGCTGCCCCAGCTGCTCCAGCACCAAAAGCTCCTTCTGGAGGTTGTACAGTCGGTGATGTTGGATGCAGTGATGGTGGTGGTGATAATGGAGGAGAAGAATGCACTGAATCTGGATGTAAAGATGATGATGATAATAATGGTAGGGCACATCATAAACTACCAATCGCAATTAAAGTTTTTTTTAAATAAATCAACAGAAGAGACAAACGAGTGATCAGGATAGAAAACATACTACTAGCACCTTTAACATTATTACAATCATGGCCACCTTCCGCCAGCATATGATTCCTTTGCCAAGTAATTATATTATTGACTTTGCCACATGTTGTTTCACATTATAATTCTTTACCAAATCGATTTTTGTATTTGCTCCTTCCCCTTTCATGTTATATTATTAAGCTATTTGTTTCGTTTGATGCCCTCTCTAATAGTGAATAGCTTTGTTTGTTAATGCAGTGCCTCTTTCCTAGGATTTACATTTTCGTACAGAGTCTTGCGTAATTACATCAAGCCCGGGCCTATCCTAAAAAAACTAAATGCTCTATATCACCATGTCATGTATGAATATCATTAACTTGTTTCATTTATCAACGATCTTGTTTCTGTCTGATTCACTTCACAGTTGCAGCTCTTCAAGAATGGATTGGATCCCCATGAAGACACATGGACCCATAAGGACTTAGTTGTAAAGATTTTGTCGTGAACATGTTGAAAGCAGGACCCGAACAGAAATTCTCACGCTTAAAAAAAAGATACAGTAAACAATGTCTTTCGCGTGTTGAGTTAATGAAGCTCGCCGGTTAATCAAGAGAAGAAATACTATTTAACTGTATACCATATTTATTTCTTATTTAAATACTGTAACTGTTTGTATTTATGTACCCACACCTAATGATATACTTAGGTTTTGGGTATTCGATCGTAACAATTTAACTTATTCCATTAATATTGTGTTTGTCAATTAATGATATTTTATTTTTAACTTTTAAGCCAAAACGTAACTACCTGTTTATTTATTTAATTTTTGTATTAGCATCACTGAGTTATTGATTTAAAAAATTGTCTTCAATTGCGAAGTATCACAATATTATCATGCTTTTATCTCATTTATCACTCTTTTTAATAATGGTCATGTGTTTATTTGAATATTTCAATATGATATATGAATAAAATTTGAGAATGTGAATTTTGTTTCTTCCTTTTTCATAATTTAGTAGAAAATGGTACTTCAAATACATTATAGTGACCACATGTTAAGAGTAATAAGTGAATGGGCTCTTGCCGTAAATAATAATATCGAATTGAATGGGACCAAGTTGAGGGAAAGAGAGTGTGAGAGATAAGGAGAAAAGGTAGATAGAGACAAAGAGGCACATACATGTATAAAGTTAGAGAGAGGGAGAGAAAAAAAATAGAAAAGTTGGAGAGATAGAGAATGAGAAAAGATGCATGTAGAGAATGAGAGAGAAAAGGAAAAAGAAAAGTTATATAGAGAAATAGAAGGAATAAAGTAACATTATAGGGAGAGAATGGGGAGAAAGAGAAAGTATAAAGAAAATTATAAGAAACGAAGTAATGTGATGTGGCAAGAATGGGAGATGAATGAGACACAAGGAAAATCTGAGATGGGCAAAAGGGATATAGAAAGAGACGGAAGAATGTAAAGATGGGACAATTTACAATATGAGATGGAGTGTGTACTGAAGTTTAGGACAAGGATAGCTGGTATTCAAGCTGACTGCAAAATTATCCAGAGGAAGTCACGAGAGAGAGAGAGAGAGAGAGAGAGAGAGAGAGAGAGAGAGAGAGAGAGAGAGAGAGAGAGAAGGCATATGTAACTGGTTTGTTCATTCTAGTCAATGTCATTAGATATTGCCAATGATCCTGGTCACAGTCACATCAATTGATGATTTATTTTGACCAAGATATTGTTCGGATACTTTGGTCAGAATATTTACGGGAAAAAGTCACACTAATTATTGAGGTACACAATTCTACCAAATGAATGATACCGGTGACAAAAGGCCAATCTCTTTTTAGGTGTGTAAATTTCGATTTTAATCTACCAGTTGCCAACTTTTCTGAGTCTTAAAACTAACACAGATTCATCACTAATAAGAATAATAATAATAATAATAATATTCCGCTTATATAGCGCTCAATACAATGGTTATGGAATGGAATGATAATATTAATAATTTGGTCTTATTTTAATACGCAGGGTGGTTTCCAGTATTGATACTGCTCATTGCAAGAGCCCTGCTATATACCTTCACCCAGTATTTTGGAGTTCCCATTTAAATACATTTGGGTGATTAAGAAGAACAAATGTGGATAACAACTCTTTGTCCTCAGATAAAAGCCCCGATTAATGTTTGAACCCAAGAAGCCTCGCATGAAAGCCAAGAGACTTCATCGATATTCCAATATAAACATGCTCACAGGATATGATAAAACCAGGTATCTTCACATTTAAACAACTTTATTCGACCTCAAATACATGAGAGATACGTATGTCATTGTTAGGACTAGCGCAAAGAAAAAATTCAAAGCTGAGACATAGTGTGACCCAATGGTGGCCCAGGATACAATTTGACTCTCTTTTTCTCCATCATAAATTTTATAAAACTAAAATTACAGTATAGTTACGCTTCTTACAAGGGGGAGGCAAAATTGATTACCCTTCAGATATGACAAAGCATCGTGATAATGATATCATCGTCTTACAATTTTTTGTAGAGGCAGTTTATTTTAATATATCAAAACGTCTTAAAATACTATTAACTCCTGCATGGTCACTTGTAATCAAGACCTCTGACAAACGTGTCCACCAGCTCTACTCTTCTCTTTTCTCTAGTTACCAAAAAGAGTAACTATTCATAAGGACTACTATTCATAATCGAAGAAAAGGGTCGCTATTCCAAAATCGGGGTAGTTATTCATAGGGGCCTCTAATAACAATACGAGAAGAGGGTCGCTATTCACCCTCTTCTCGTATTATGAATAGCGAGCCCGATTTCGTATTATGAATAGCGGTCCTTAAGAGTAGTGATCTCCAATATAAATTCTGAATAGTGACCCCTGTCTGTTTTATGAACAACGGTCCTTTACGTGTATAAAGTACCACGTTATGAATAGCGGTCCTTTTGACTTATGAATTGCGAGGTTACCCCACAAAAAAGCTGTACTCTGGTAAAATAGTAGTAGTTCCCCGGCTAGTACTCGAACCGTAGACTTTTCCACATAAGCTTTAATCATCTTTATAGAACGGCAAATTCCTTGATTATTTGGATTGTTTAAAATTTGACAACGGTTTTGAAGGAATATATTATAATAATCAAAGAGTAATAAAACATGATTGGCATATTGATATCAGTGACTAGTCTGGAGGGGGTAAGGAGCAATCGGCAGGACACTTACATGTGTCGAACTAACGAAGAATTCATATTTTCTTTAAGGATATTAAATGAGGCACCTTAGCAAATACAAACGTTTCTTACCAATCATTAATTTACCAACTCAGACATGCGTGGTCTTTCCATCCTGATTATTGGACTCATATTGAAGTTGTTCTATGATCTTATACATTATGTTCATAACCAAATATCAACAATAGAAAATTATTTCCTGTATTGTCAAAGCCATATTGAATCCAATTTGTAGCAGCAGTCTTTTTGAACGACTGGGTTTCTCACACTTTCTCTTTTCACTATCTGAAATTGTTAATGCATGATTCACGGATCATGATTATATGTCATTACGATTTTTTTTTAAAAGCTTTGTGCACATTTTAAAAACGGAAATTTTTTGTAATTATTGAGTGAATTACCAACAAACTTTGGTTTCCTTTTCCAGTGACACCCCGCACGAGATAGATTCCCCCTCTTTAAAGATTTATTGTAAGGCATGAGAGTGTAATGTGTATCTAGAAATTAGTAATTAGGGGATAGAAATTGTCCACTCGGGGAGGGGTGCGTAACTTAAGAGGGCAACTCTACGTACATGTTGAAACAATATTGTCCCCTTGGCCTTCATGGGGGTGCACTCCGGATCCATCTTAATAAACTGGGTATACTAAATAGCTCATGAGTAATATCACACTACTTGTTTGTATGTTATATCGTATAGACAAATAAACATTGATCCAACGATCACTTTCTTTCTTTATTTCTCATTAAAAATAAAGTTTGAAAGTAGCAGGTAGTTTATTTTCCTTCCAACACTCTTCAAAAATAATAGTGAAACATAGAGAGCTTATGTCTTTCTTTGTTCTTCCATTGATAAAATGGTTAGTTTTGATTTGTATAAATGTGTTTGAGCATGAAGTAACTTCATAGTGTTGGAGTATCCTTCATCTTGATAGTAATTTCTTTTCTTTTTCCAAACTAAGAAATTATTTTAATCACTGGATTTAGATTAATCCAAAATAACAATTCAATCTTAGAGTGCAAACGGAAGGATAGCAAGCAACGTTTGGTCTCTGCTTGTTTTTAACTAACAGTGCTAAACGATGTCTTGATGATATGACTATTGATTACATTCGATAAATAATCAAATGCTAAGATAAATAATCCTACTTAATAGTTGAAGTGCTTCCTGTTGTCCGGTTACTGTTTCACTAAAGCAGGAAAACATGAGATTCTGTTAATTGCTGGCAGTGATGGGCATCACCGCCTATTATGCCTCAATATATATTAAATTGGTTGGAAAGGATTAATAAAGGATTAGGGGATCTTTCTTCAATCACCCCCTTCATTTTTGGAGAACAGGATGGGTCGAGAGAGGTGTATAAATACGGACTGATTCGGACCAGTTTCATCAGTTGCTCATCTGAGCTCAACACAGAATTACAACAGCAAAAGAATTCACTTACACTCGAACCAGCAAAGGGTAAATATTCATGTTTGTTCTTCTTCGCACTCTTCATATTATATTCTTAGTGCATTAAGTTTGTCAGCAAAGAAGAATATCTCAGAAGTTGACAATCAAACAAAATGTAATGTTTTAAAGTGTACTTGTGAATCATTTTGAAAAATTGATTTGCATTTATCTATATAAGAAAACGTGTTAGTATGCAAATATGGTAATTATTACTTTTAGAGCGAACCGAAACGATATTTTATATATCATTGCTTTATCATATTTCCTTCTCTCCCTGCACCAGATATTAAACCGAGAAAAGTAATTATGTTTGTCCTTAATTGCAGAGTTGCAACCATGCCTAATCGTTCTTTGAATATCTCTTGAGTACATGCCAGAGAAACACTCATTAAAAGTAAACAAATAGTTTTTGCATCTAATTTCGACAGTAAACTACTCTTCAGATGTGTACGGGAGGCACTTGTCCATCGCTTCATAGTTTAAGTCCGTTATTATTTATTGATTCATTCGCTTTATCTCATTTTTTTCTTTCTCCTCAGATTTCCAAAATGTTACACGCAAAGTTATTGGCCGCTTTGGGTATGGTGTTGTGTCTACTTGTGCTTTCAAATGCAGCACCGTGTAAGTGAAACACTTTTCATCATTGATTTGACTCTTTAAGACATCGATTTCATTCTAATTGATGTTCATACTTCAATGCACGCAGTACCACCAATGATTGATGTTCATACTTCAATGCACGCAGTACCACCAATGGCTAGCCAGTTTCAACAATTTCATAAGATCGTAAATTGTACACTTGCATTTGATATATTGTTCAGTCATTAAAACATGTTTCCAACATTGATTATATTTAAAGTGTAATAAAAATCTGATATTCAAATATTTCTTCTACTTTTACCTACCATTAGATTTCCGACATCGTTTTCGTTCCAAGGTAATAACTGACAAAAATCCCTATATTTTCCATACTACAGATTCAAACAAATGTACACGAGGAGTAAGCGGTATTGTATGCGGCGATAACGGTGTTACCTACGACGATGCGTGCGATGTTGATGACGACGATGATGATACGAATGGAAATGGAGGGGTACAGGTTGCTCATTCAGGATCATGCACTAGAGGAAGTCACTCTCCTGCGGCTCCTCGTGCTCCTGCACCACACGCTCCAGCGGCACCGTATGCTCCAATCGCCCCGTACGCACCCCATGCTCCTGCAGGAGGTGTCCATGCTGGCACTAGTGGAGAAACTGGATATGGACATGCTCCTTCTCCAGGCGTTGTCGGTTATGCTCCTCCTCCCTACGCTCCAGGAGCTCCATATGCTCCTCATGCTCCAGCATCAGGAGTTCCCAGTGGTACAAGTGGAGAGACTGGCTATGCTCCTGAAGGTCCAGCTGTTGGCTATGCTCCTGGAGGACGTGCTCCCTACGCTCCAGTGGCTCCATATGCTCCTAATGCTCCAGCAGCAGGAGTTCACAGTGGTACAAGTGGAGAGACGGGCTATGCTCATGTAGGTCCAGCTGTTGGCTATGCTCCTGGAGGACCTGCTCCCTACGCTCCAGGGGCTCCGTATGCTCCTTATGCTCCAGCAGCAGGAGTTCATAGTGATACAAGTGGAGAGACGGGCTATGGCCCTGTAGGTCCAGCTGTTGGTTATGCTCCTGCTGCTTCCGGTGTTGGTTATGCTCCCGAAGAGGGCGCATTAGGCTACGACTTTGACGGAGACGACAGCGATAGTGGGGAGGATTATCATGGTAATTTTCTTTTCTTTTCTTTTTTAATCGCTCATCTTCTGATTATTGATATTTCTGTTTCTATGTCTTACTATTATAAGGTAAGAGACATGCAGACGAACGTATTATGTAATTTTTGTTAAAGATATTAGTTAATAATATTCGAACATTATCTGAGGACACTGGAGCCCAGCCTTTGATTATTTATATTTATATATTTGCTTATATGTATAATGTATTGTTAAATGTATTTTTATACGAGAAATGGAAATAAAATGAACTTGAAATTGAACTTGAACATGACGTTCTTCTTTAGCATGGTCTAACCCCTCCCCCCTAATCACACTCGCACACAGCAAACACACACCTCTTCCCCAACAAACAAACTGGAAACTATAATTTTCTTGTTTGTTTATTTTATTATTTAGGACAAGAGGCTGCCCCCGGTGCTCCTGTAGGATACGCCCCAGCAGCTCCGGTCGGATATGCCCCAGCAGCTGCTGGAGGATACGCCCCTGCCACACCTGTCGGGTATGCTCCAGCAGCTCCTGGTGGCTATGCTCCTTCTGACACTGGTCTCGGATGTGGTGGATCTGACAGTGAAGAGGGTGGTGACGACAGCAGTGATGAAGATGGCTGCGGTCTAGCTGCCCCACCAGGAGGTGGAGCTCCAGGAGCCGCTGCCCCTGCACCAGGTTATCCTCACGCGCCTCCTGCACCTCGTGCTCCATATGCCCCACATGCTCCCATCCCAGGTGCTCCTTCATACGCTCCCGGTGCTCCGTTTGCACCATATGCTCCAGGCCCCAATCATGATGCATCGTCTGCGATGGACGAAGAAGAGCAAAATGATCAAGGTGATGAAGAAGATAACGAAGACGAAGAAGACCAGGATCAAGAAGATAAAGACGAAGAAGATCAGGATGAAGAAGATAAAGATGAGGAAGACCAGGATAAAGAAGATAAAGACGAAGAAGACAAAGATGAAGAAGATAAAGACAAAGAAGACAAAGATGCAGAAGAGGAGGAAGAAGAAGACAACGCAGACGAAGAGGAAGATGCAGACAAGGATGAGGAGGATAAGAAAGATGAGGAAGACAATGGCGATAAGGAAGACAACAGTGATAATGAGGAGGGTTGCAGTGGAGCCGATTGCGCAAAGGAAGAGGGGAACACAAGGCCCAATGGTAACTATTCCAAAAGCAATATTAGTATCAAATAAAGCATAATTAGTACCTGCATGGTTACTGTATGACATAATATAATAAGGGATCTCAGGGCAGCAGTTTATAATCATTGATAGGAACCTCGGTGCTGTAAATAGTTTGATAGCTCACAGCCAACCGAAAGGAAAAATTGCGTCATAATAATTATTACTGGTTTATTCATGGTTCCTGCCGTAACCAAAGTAAACCCAATGGAACCGAGTGGTCCGTGCAATAATATCTATGAGGAAAAGAAGAAAGAATCATTGGTCGGGGGGGGGGGTTAATGGAACACTCATGAAACCGAAAATCTTTCTTTCGATTTTCGTGTTCTCCAGCAGGCACAGCCAGATTGGCAAATCCTATCTGCACCGATTGCCCAATCCACACATCTCGAGCGCAGCGTGTATGCGGCACTAACAATCGAACCTACAAAACCCTATGTCATCTAAAGTTGGCAGCATGCAGAACGTATGACTCAAGTCTTAAACTAGCAAAGATCGGCAGTTGCATTTGTAAGTTATAGGACATTTAGACCAATTAAACAAATGTGTATCAATCTTAATCATGAAGAAATCAGACACTTTAAGTCATTTATATACCAACAACAAAAAATCTACAATAATTACCCTTTATGTAAAATACCTTGTTATCTGTAAATACCGTAGAAAAAATGACAAAGTTTTAATCCTTAGAAGTTATGTCAACAGGGTTAATCGGAAAAAAAATATGAGTACCGGCAGTTTATTGACAGCTTGGAAAAGGTCTCAGCCACAATGCCTTCTTGGCATGCTTGCATCAGAAAACCCATACGGCCAATATCTTAACACAGATATGAACACGAGGGGAAGATCACGTCCGTTCATAAGTTACAAAAAACTGGCACTACAATTTGTCAATTAATTATTTGTTCGTACTTTGAATATTCAACCAACGTTTGTTTGTAATTTAACTTTCTGTTGTCGGCCTAATTTATTTATCTTGTCTTTTTAGTTCCTATTAGAGCTTCAAATTATCTATACAAATTTTTGGCTAAAAATATGAAAGATATTTGATTTCCTGCCGTATTGGTTAATTAATGTAACTGCAGGCGGCCTCATTTTACCCCTATTTCCCTCTTCCTTGCGAGACTCGACCTCTTTTATCCGCTAGTTGGCTGAAAACTAGTACGTGCATGGATTATTTTAGAGGAAGTTTGTATTTATGAATTGATGCTATCGGGATTCACACCCACAGATGATTAGCCGATGACAGATACTAGTACTAGTACGTGATCCTCTAATGCGGATCACATTTCGTTCCAACTTATTTCTGCACAGCGCCATCTACATTCGGAATGACGGACAGCTATGTTTGTAACAATGCAAGATGGCGATGATGAAATATTACTACCATTTCGACCACTTTATGTTAATATTCTATAATTGTAATTTAATGACAAAATATGCTCCCTATTCCAGTAGATTAAACAAACGTATTAATGTTCATTTTCTTACTAAGAACAAAACCAACGAGAAAAGCTACATGTAACTTCATTTCGAATAAGATAAGCTTAATACAGTTTAAAACATTTTCCCCTTTGTACTCTCTTTCTCTCTCTTTAATCCTTACAGCTTCGCTGAAGAAAGTCAACTTGTTTAACGAGTAACAGTGCTAAACGTCCTATGCTAATGATCTGTGACATTAACATGACTAGCGATAAACCTAGCTATACTGAAGGCTACGTGCATCTGACGTCTTAACATGTGCTTTGGAGAAAACATCTACCCTTAGGTCGGGCACTGGTGCAACTCGAGAGTGAATGTTGGCATCTATATTTATTTACCCTATTATCCCTTTATTTATTTTTGTCTTTAGTTTGTTAACATTACTTAGGATATAAATCAATTATTTATAGTGACACTGTTGAGAGACTAAGTGAAGAATTACAAACTTGTTAGTTTCATACTATTCTCAAAGGCTGCTGTTATAAAGACCTCACCGTCTTTTTTATTATAATCAAGTATGATGTTCAATTTTTATTTATTTTGGTATTTGTATTGTGATATCAGTTGGTTAAAAATCTTGTTGTTATTAAGGAATTGGGAACAAATGTTACGGTTCATATCGATCATGTATATGCTATTGTGTAACATTTGAAACTCCTGAATGTGGGTGGTTTTGACTGCTCAAACGCAGACATGAAAGGTAATTACATTAGGACGCTCAATACAGTGTATATCATCCATCGGTAAATGTATTGTCAAAACTCTCCATTATCCTATTGTACTTTTTTTGTGAAAGTTCTCATTTAATCGAATTTCATTGTGGCATTATATTCATGGAGTACTGACCTGTTTGTCCTATTATTTATTAATATACATATTTTATTGTTAAGAGTCAATATTTATGATTTTTTTTCCCCGATCAGTTAGTTTAAATGTCATTTTGTTTTATTATTATTCTTTTATTTCGAAAAAGTGATTAAACGAAATAATAAAACGGATATAAACTTTAGCGCCTTTTTTGTAGAGTGCTGTTGGTTGAATTGGAATTGAGGTGCAGGACAAAAGTGCAAGAAATATGTATGTTTGTGAATAAGACTACCAGGTGAAAATAATTTGTATGTGCTTGTTCCTGCGTCAATACTACTACTAATTTTACCACTACTACTACAACTACAACAACAACAAATATTACTTCTACATATCTTACATTCCGTTTTATTCTCTCTCTCTTTCCTCCCTGTCTCTGTCTGTCTGTCTGTCTCTCCATCTCTCTCTCTCTTTCACTCCCCTCACTATACCAATATATCCAGTGGCGTAGACAGGTTCGTACACCTGGGGGGGATGACTCAGTGGCGGATCTAGCTTTTTTGCTAAGGGGGGGGGGGGGTTGACCTAAATAATGACGATGACGATGCGGAGCATCGTCCACGAGCCGCGAAGCGGCGAGCCGATTTTTTTTTTGGGGTGTTTATTTGAACCCCGTAAGTGATGTTTTCCTGGCATCTATTAACACAATGGAGACCATAAAAAGCAGTGCATGATAACGTCTTTTCAAATCAAGTAACAGTTAAATACACAGTTATATCCAGAGTTATCATGTGTTTGGTTAAGTTACCAGATGAGTTGAATATCTCACAATATTTGCACTTGAAAGGGTTTCTCTCCAGCGTGTGTTCTTTTTTCTTTCTTTTTTTCTTTTTTTTTTTCTTTTTTTTTTTCCTTTTTTTTGTTTTTTTGTTTTTTTTGGGCCGCCCAAGGGGGGGTTTAAACCCCCTAAACCCCCCCCCCCGTAGATCCGCGCCTGTTTAATCTTGTGGTTATCTTGTGGTTTCTAAACCACAAGATAACCACAAAATACTTGTAAGATTTTCTTTTTTTTTACCGTCTGAATTAGCTTTCACCGTGTGAATGCGGCTAATAACAATAAACACAATTACAATAATGATGAGGATTATTATTATCATCATCATAATTATTATTATAATTAATATTATAATTGTTATCATTATTATTATTACTATTATTATCATCATTATGACTTATTTAGTAAGCAAATATCATTCCCCAAAACCTGGGGGGGGATGATTGTACATGCCATCCCCCCCACCTTGTGAGGTGGGGGGGATGCATCCCCCTCATCCCCCCCCCCCGTTGTCTACGCCCCTGAATATATCTCTATATCTCTCTATTCCTCTCGTCACAATGCCTCTCCTTTGACATGCCACTCCCGCATTATTTACTATCATCAAAGCAACCCATTCACAACAACGTTCTGTGCTCAAAGACAAGAATTATTTAGAATCAGAGATAACTTATTATGGTATACATAATGTATTTTATACATGAAATATCACATATAAAAACAAGAGTTAAATAGCAACGAAAATACGTAGCAAAAAAAATTGAAATCAGTACACTTTCATCAGAAAATTTGATAATTTAAAGTACCATAACACAATAGAACAGTAGATATGCAGGAAAAGATGTATATACATAGCAATATCACCTGTTTAGCAAGAGTAAATATGAATGATTAAAATTATATAAAGCTTCAGTTTACCTCAACGTCATAAGCTTGCTTTTGCACTCACACACGCGAAAAGTATCGTTACATATTCTTACGATGTAATTGGTATCCAACGTCAATATGCACTTAACTTCTGTAAACATGGTGAAGTCCACAATAAGTTGTCTTGATCGGATCGTCCATCACAAAAATCACTTCATGAATGGCTTATGGAGCAACAGCTTGAATAAGACTCGCTGTCAAAAAGAAATAGAAAATGGCATTCGCATTAATAAATATGTTCTGGTAGAATTGTACTACGCCCTCTTTTGCTGGGTCACTTCTGTTATACATGCCATGAGATTAAATTGCCATCATTTGGTCGTGTTTTTTAAATGCACATTGTAATCAATTACTTAGATTTTAATATTAAAATTGCATCCTCTTAAAACTTTAACCCAACTCTCGGTCTAACATCAAGCTATGACATGCATGTAAATCTAGGTCCTATTTTATATGTTTTGTTTTTTTACATATCAATTTCACGAAACAAGAGAACCTTTATACTATGTGAGAAAGAAAATCCCTTCATACCATGTATTTAAGCAGGAGATCTTTTAATCAGTGGTGTACAGCGTTGAAATAGGATTACTTACCCGCACACACCCCTTCGCTGGCGACCTGCAGTGAGTTGCCTCCTAGTTGACAAGCAGCATGACGCAGCTCGCATAGATTGCCGTATGTCACTCCGTCCGATCCACATACCGCGTCAGTGCGGGAAACGAAGAGGGGGCATGCAGAGCAAAGTGAGCCCATTATAGCATCTAGGAGAAATAAGATCATGATTAGCATAATAAACAAGTATACCGATTGAAAGCCCTTCAAGCAATCAACGCAAGGGCGATTTAAACACCCTTTTGCATTATTTACAGCTATCACATGATGTAATATGTTATTGTAAGGTTCGTACATTTCAGAACGTGATGAAAAAGGCTATTTAATTATTTTTTTCGAAAGTTTGCGATCACGTTTCATTTGCCTCAATGGATTCTTATCAATATGATACAAGTTCACTAATTTCAAGCATGAAATTAACTTTGCATATTTAGGAGATCCAATTGAGAATTTCTCTTAAAGTTAGTGTCCATAAGGAGAAAAAAAAATCCCAATTAGCTTTGAAAATACATGTTCTCACCTGGAGAGTCATCATCGGCAGCTTGCAGTGCACCACATCCAGGACCACCTCCCAATGCACCACAGTCACCTCCATCATCATCATCACCACCATAATCATCTCCACCATCGTCATCACCACCGTCATCGTCTCCTCCATCGTCATTACCGCCGTCATCGTCTCCTCCATCGCCATTACCACCATAGTCGTCACCATCATAGTCGTCACCACCATAGTAATCGCCACCATAGTAATCGCCACCATAGCTATCACCACCATCATCACCACCATCATCACCGCCATCGTCACCGCCGTCATAACCACCATTATCACCGCCATCATCACCGCCATCATCACCACCATCATCACCTCCATCATCGCCACCGTCATCACCACCATCGTCACCGCCATCATCACCGATGTCATCACCGCCGTCATCATCGTCACCTGCAGGAACTGGTACTGGGATGTATACTGGTTTTTTCACTACCTCGTAATGCACTTCTGGTACTGATACTGGTACTGATACTGGAACGGAGATTGTGTTGGTACCACCACAGTTACCTCCGCCGCCACCACCAACGGCGCCACCACCACCACCACCACCGCCGCCGCCACCACATCCTCCTTCTTCGCTGCTGTCGGAGTCGGAATCAGAATTGGAGTCGGAATCAGAATCGGAGTCAGAGTCAGAGTCGGAGTCAGAGTCAGAGTCAGAATCAGAACTGTCGCATCCTCCAGAGCCACTACCGCAGCTATCACTTCCACTGCTGCTATCGCTGTCACTATCACTACTGCCACATCCGTCACCATTACATCCACCATCGCCATCGCCATCACAGTCACCACCATCGCCATTACAACCGCCGCCGCCACTGCCATCACCATGATCATTCCCGTTGCAGTCGCCACCATCACAGCCTCCATATCCATCTCCATCTCCATCACCATCACCATTACCATCTCCACCACAGCCAGCACCATCACCACCACAATCACCATCACCATCACCGTCACCACCATCACCATCACCATCTCCACCACAGTCACCACCATCACCACCACAATCACCATCACCATCACCATCACCATCACCGTCACCACCACCACCATCACCATCCCCACCGTCACCACCACTGTCCCCACCATCACCGTCTCCCCCACAGTCTCCACCACAATCACCGTTACCACCACCGTCCCCACCATCACCGTCTCCTCCACAGTCTCCACCACAATCCCCATCACCACCGCCACCATCTCCATCGCAGGTACCATCACAATCACACCCGTCGCATTCCTCGCTACTGCTGCTGCTCCTTCGAGTTCTCTCCGCTGTGGTAAACACACAAAAGAAAGAAAGAAAGAAATTTGCAATGCCATCTCATACGATTCATTTTTGGTTTGAAGTGATCATAAAGGTTACCTTGACAATATGAATACGATCATAGGGTTTCGAGAATAGATTATGTATGTATAAATTATTATTTATTATCATAGTATATTATAATTTTGCTTTAAAAAATGTTAAAATGGTGATGTACCTGGTGCAGCGGTTGATAATGCAGACAGCATGAGAAGAAGTGCAAGAGAAATCCACAGCCGGTTCATGGTGCAGCTCGTCTTTTCCTGATCATATGAAGAGCAAGAAATACATATGTAAGTAATTAAACATTATAGGTGTTATAAATTGTTATGATCAGTTATTTTAAGTGTAATTTATGTTATCATCCATGGCATGTGCATAGAATAGTGTTGCCTTTATCGACCTTTACTCTACCAGTGTAAAAACAAAACAATATATCTACCAACTGTGAGACATTCACTTCGAGCCCATAATCATCACGAGTATAATCATGATAACCGTTCTGCCTAATCGATGTTCTCCCAAACACGTCGACTCGTTTTCATAGATTCTGCTTTAAATCTTGTCAAAGAGAGTACAATAAAGGCGGTACGAAACCACTGATCTGCCACAGAGCCATGGCGTCCCTTCCCCTAATGAAGTCGAATGTCATGAAATATTTTTGTTAACAACCTTTTCCACAATAAAACTGAATTATCTTATTGACTGACAGACAGACTGAGACTTCGTAAAATAGTAAAAGTACACTTACCGTTCTTTGCAAATAGAAGTTGAATTTACACAAACTTGTCGTAAAAAACTCTGAAACAGCAGATACTTTATTCCATATATCTTAGCTGCTTCTCCGCTGCTTCTGTTGCTTGTGATTAGCTTTTCAGAGAGAGTTCAACTGATGATTTCTTCGAGAGTAGTCTCCATATTTATACTGTTACGAGAACTATGTTTTTACTTGACTCCGAAAAGTTAACACATTCCTTTGTTGTGTTTTCTTCTTTTCTTTTCACATAATGTAGCACGCGCCAACGCCCTTCCCAACAAACAAAAAGGGGGGATGTGCGTTTTAACATTAATGTGAGCCGATATACATGAATGTACATGTCAAAATATGGTTTCAATGATCCCATGGACACTTTAGCTTGGATTAATTAAGGCACAATATAATAATATCTTACAAAGATCAGGTAATCTTCAAGTCATTTAAACACCATCTTAAAATTATTCTTTGATTTCAATTGTAGATGAACATTTTCTTTATCCGTAATGTAGTCGTGAGAGTAATCCAGATGGATTTAGGCTGACCCGTCCAACTCTAGCTAAATGACTCTACTCTGAAAATGAATTTGGATTTAATAAACGATTAACGTGCTTAGTATATCAGCGAAACATAGTTCATTACAATTTGGGAAGATTAAGAGGCTCGGGCATTGAGACGAACTGATTATATCGTTTTATGGTTAAGTGGCGAAAGAATATGAGAGAAAATGCCATTGTTTATTCGTCTTAGCATTACACTTAGGTCCAACATTTAACTGTCGTTATTGATTAATTGATTTATTTATTTTATTCATTTTTGTTTATTAAATACAAATTCTGTCTTTTTACAAAATGGGTCACATCACTTTTAATGTAGTCTTCGATGAGGTTTACTTTAAAGGGATCCGGTAACTTTGTCTCAGATTCTGAAACAAAATCCTGGATTTAGCTCATGCTGCAATGATATTTATATACCTTTATGTCAGTCAGTCTTACCCAGGGGCGGCGATCCCGGGGGGACGGGGGGACACGTCCCCCTCAATTCTTTTAGAGGGGATCGCCCGCCCCCCCCCCCCCCGAACATTTGAAAAAGTGAAGAAAAAAATGTTTAGCAAATATTGAATAATGACTGCAACACACATCTAAGTCCAGAGGGCCCAAGAGTGCAGCGTTTAGACTAATAAAGATGAAGAAAAAAATTCCTGCTCGGTCGCTACGCTCCCTCGCATAACATCCTTGTAAAAAATGTGCATGTCATCCCCCCAGTTATGAAAAGAAATCGCCGCCCCTGGTCTTACCCCATAACTTTTACAGGCTGATAGCCTGTCTGATTATCAAGATATTTTTTATTCGAAATCGAAACCAAATTTTGCGTTTTTATAACGGTTTTCATAACACTACAGTCTACCGGGAAAACGAGTATGGTAAACCGGTCACTCAAAGGTTTTTGTTTTTTTGAGGCACTTTTTGATCATTTTGAAGACACTGATAACACGTAGAGCAGTGTATCTCAGATTTAACATTGTTAAACGGATAGTTGAGTTCTGTTGCAGAGGGCGCTACAAAAAATAATTTTTGGTGAGATAATGAAAAACTGATTATCAAATTTGAAAGAACATACAATTTAAATTACAAAATAATCTTTGTTTGATCAAAATTGGTTCAGAGACGTCTAAAATATCCATAAATATATACATTTCTAATACTTGTGTACCACCACAAATATTCGAAAATTTGAACCAGCCGTTGAAAACTAAACTGAATAGCGCCTTATACATTCTATTCCAGCCAATGCCGGTGTTGGCTTTTTGTTGGCTTTCGGTTGGCTTTTCGTGTTGGCTATAATATGCACAATCAGCCGGCCTGTGTATTTTTAATATTAACTAATGAATCAATTAAAGGTCACCATATTTTTTTGAAAGTGGAATTAATTGGTATGAGCGTATTGGCTAAGTTTCACACATTTTGGGGTCTAAAATTATCTTCATAGCAATTTCAGGTCCTAAAAGAGCACCAGAATAATCATAAATAAGAATAAGAGCAATAACCATGCACTTTGAAGACATTTGCGGTCTGAAACAAGAACTCAACGATTCCTTTAAACAATGCCTTTAAAAGCTGTATTGGCCTATATATAGTTAATTAATGTCAATAGATAAAAATAATAATAAAAGTGGTGACACGATTTCTAGAACTAAAGCTAAAAAGTGGATTTGTGCGTGTCTTTCTTTGCTCAGCGCGCGCAAGTACGTCTCATGAATAATTCATGACCCTACACACACAGCCACACAAAGGCGAGTCATGGCGTGATATGACGTCATAACTCTCTATGCTAATGAGCTCGGAGTGTCGACAAATGTGATTGGACGGAAAAGATTATGTTTCTTACTTTTTCAAGGATTCCGTCGAATTTTCTAGACCATTCAGCTTGATTTTGATATATGACAGAGAGAGGGATAAAATCCGCACTGGAAAGTGAACGCGCTGTATGCGTAGGGTAATCCGTTGCTGGGATACAGAGTCTCAAACACGGGGTTATCGACTATGTGTCCTGCTTCGAATTGTGCAAGTACGTGCATTGCTATGGAAGGGTTGGTGTCAAAATTCACTTGAAAATCTTTCTTTCAAGGCCTTTTCCGACGCGAATACAAGAACAAAATATAGACAATAGCATTTCGTTCGCGCCAGCCTTGTATTTTGCTGCATTGCTAATTCTATGGTCACATTACCCAAAAGTAGCCTGCTCGGCGGCCGAGCGGCGAGTTTTTAACCAATTCTGCCCGGCGGCTGCCCGGCCACCGAGCGGCGGCCGCCCAGGCACCGCTATAAAGGGCATCGCTCGGTCGCCGATGAAGTTTTAGCGCGGAGTTAAAATTTGGGCGGCGCCTGCTCACTTTTCACTCGCCGCCCAAAATACGCTCGGTGCCTGGGCGGTCGCCGCCCGGGCACCGACGTAATCGCTGGGCGATGCCTAATTCTAGCAGCGACCGAGCAGGCTACTGATCGGTCGGTCGCTGCTCTGATTTGTGACCATAGCTTTAGTTACACCAATATCTTTGACAAAAGAACGGTATTTGTAGCCTGTGTCCATTGGTTATAATACATGCGCGCGAGCATGCGTTCGAGACTCACCAAAAGACATCACTTTTCCATATGTTCACCCCTGGAGTTTATAAAACGCAAGGCTACAGTACGCCTGACGTATGGTCGCCGTGGAACCGCTCTACGGCATGGCTACGGCGTGTCTAATCTCTACGGCAAAACTACAAATGTAAACAGTTATAACTCCGCATTATAATCCCACGGCAACCCATACGGCCTGTAAAGATAGGGATACGACCTAGGGTGACATGGCCACCGCAGATCTTCTGTGGCCGCCGCAAGTATCTCTCGATTTCGGAGGCGTACGGCCGCCGTATCCTAGCTGAAGAGAAAATGTGACCTTGGCATTATGCACAAATTAAATTTGGCTGAATTACGCGAAAAAAATATCGGCAGGTATCGGGCGTGTGTTATATAATTTTTTTTTTAATTTAAAAAATATATAGGCCCCGTGTAGAGAAGAGTTACTACCTTTGCACGTTAAGAACCAACTGCACTATTCGTATAAGAGTACGGGAAACCCCGGTGTAGTGGTCCACCTGAACACACCCCAGTATAATTCAGTATATTTCAGTATAATTAATTGAAGACATTATGTAATGTGTATTAAACTGTAATATGTATTTCTGAGGGATGTACAATTTTCTTTACATTTTGATATGTTATGTTAATCAATGAAGATGTACGATTTCTTTCTTTTTTGTACTGAATGAATGCAATAAAGAATGCTACAAAACAAAAACAAAAAATTGATGGGAACTTTTGTGCACGGTAGAAAAAAACTAATGCACGTCCACGTGATGTAAATTGACCAATCAGAGTACTTAGATTCTAGAACCCGTATAATAGCAACTATAGACCTATTAGTGTTTTAAGCGTAGCATCAAATATTCTAGAAAAATCGGTCTGTGTTCAAATTGAAAAATACTTCAAAGAAAATGATATAATTTATGAATTTCAATCTGGTTCTCGACATGACTATTCGACTGAAACATGTCTAATTCATTAGACTGATTATTTGAGGACAGAAACTTCCCAGGAGCGCTCTGTTGGTATGGTACTCCTTTGTCCTTGATCTGCAATGGGTTTAAGCAAATTTAGAGTGGTTCAGATCCTACTTGTCTAATCGAAACAAAGTAGTGGCCATTCACGATATTCGTTCCACATGCGGTGTTCCTCAGAGAAGCATTTTAGGCCCAATTCTATTTTCAAGTTATATCAATGATATGTGAATTTGTATAAAAGACTTTAAACTGTACGCAGATGACAGCGAAGGCCTACTACTCTATTCAAAGCCCAATCCAAAATATCTTGAGGAAAAGCTCAGTGAACAGCTGTCAACGTGTGTCGATTGGAAGAGTGATAATAAGCTTTCTTTACACTTGGGAAAAACAGAAACCATTTTGTTTTGTTCTAAAAGTAGTTCTAAAAAGTCATTTGAATTCAAAGTGACACACAATAATCAAGTAATCAAGAGAAAAGAATCAGTGAAGTATTTAGGCATTGAGTTGGCTAGCGCAATTTCACTTTCATCTTTAGTAGAATCAGTTGTAAAGCAAATTCTCGTCTGAAATTTATATCAAAGTTGTATGGATTTAAAAGCAAGACGTATACTTTGTTTTGCTCTTATTCAATGTTTATTTGACTATGATAAACCCGCATGGTAAAATAACATAAACAAGTCAGATCAAAAGAATGGTGAGATTCATCAACTGTTCTGGTCCAAAAAACTCATGTTGGCTACAGCGAACTTTCTAAAGCTGGTTTTCTTGAAGTCAACCAAAGATCAAAACAACTTGTATTGCACCACGTGCACAATACTAAGTTGAATCATTATATTCCATCCAACTTCGATCTTCTTACTGACTATTAAACGTGATTATAATACAAGAAATAGCCGATTCAACTTTAACTTACCAGAAAGAGTAGTATCGGTAATTCGTTTTATTACAATGGCATAAAACATTGGAATTCACTTCCAAATGATATAAAGGAAATAGAAAACTTTGCTCATCTTAAGAGGAAATTAAAGGAATGCCTAACACTTGTCAGAGAAAAGAAGCGAATGACATTTTAAATGATTGAAATCTTTATTCTTCTGCCGGTTCATACTTTTTCATTTTGTTTGTGTACGTTATAGAAATTCTACATATTCATCATTATTTTCCTCTTCCTCCTCCCCTCCTCTCCCTCTTTTTCTTCTTCTCCTTAATCTTTTCTTCTTGTACGTAAATATTACTATTTCAACTTCTTAATTATGTACATGTGTACAGGGACCCCACTGGAAATAAGCTCTCAAGCTTTCGTGGGTTATCCTGTTCAAGCGGACTCAATATTGATCTGTTATTCTTGTACGTTATTGTATGTTGGAAGCTTGGCGAATAAAAGTCAATCAATCAATCAATCATACCTCTCTGTCCTTTCCACCCCTATCTATCATGCCCTTTTATTCTCTCTTTCTCTCTTTGTGAGAACTTTAAGAATCTTTCTCTCTCTCTCTCTCTATCTCTATCTCTCTCTCTCTCTCTCTCTCTCTATCTCTATCTCTCTCTCTCTCTCTCTCTCTATCTCTATCTCTCTCTCTCTCTCTCTTTCTCTCTTTCACTTCCCCTCACAATACCAATATAGCTCTATATCTCTCAATTCCTCTCGTTACAATACCTCTCCTCTTACATGCCACTCCCGCATTATTTACTATCATCAAAGCAACTCATTCACAGCAACGTTCTATGCTCACTAAAAACAAGAATTATTGAAAATCCGAGATAACCTGTTATAGTTTTGTAAAATACATTATGTATTTGACGTTAAATATATCACATATATAAACAAGACTTTAAATAGCAACGAAAACCTTGCAAAATAATTGAAACATTTGATAATTTGAAAGTACTTTCGACACTCAAAAGTATCAGAGTGTGAATACAAAATTGCAACTATCCACCGTAATACACTAAAACAGTAGATATGCAGGAAAAGAGGTATATTTTGCCATAAATGTCAATATCCCCTGTTGAGCAAGAGTAAATACTAATTATTTCTTACAATTATAAAAAGCTTCGGTTTTCCTCAACGTCATAAGCTTGCTGAAATCACACACGCGAAATGTATAGTTACACATTTTTACGATGCAATCGGTATCCAACGTCAATATGCACTTAACTTCTGTTAAGTCCACAATTATCTTGATCGGATCGTCCATCACAAAACTCACTTTGTGATTGGCTTATGGTGCAACAGCTTGAATGAGACTCGCTGTCAAAAAGAAATAGAAAATGGCATTCGCATTAATAATTATTTTCTGGTAGAATTGTACTACGCCCTCTTTTGCTGGGTCACTACTGTTATGCATGCCATGAGACTAAATTGTCATTATTTTGTCGTGTTTTTTTAAATGCACATTGTAATCAATTACTTAGATTTTAATATTAAAATTGCATCCTTCTAAAACTTTAACCCGACTCTCGTTCTAACATCAAACCATGACATGCATGTAAATCTAGGTCCTATTATATCTGTGTGTTTTTGTTACATATCCATTTTAAGAAAAACTTTAAGCATACACAAATTGAAATTATTATATTTCATTTGAAAAAGCCTGAAATGGAGTATGGAAAGCAAATACTAATCTCACATTAAGTTTAACATTATAACAAGAGAACCTTTATACTATGTGAGAAAGAAAATCCGTTCATACTATGTATTTAATTAAGCTGGGGATATTTTTAATCATTGGCGTACATCATTGAAATAGGATTACTTACCCGCACACACCCCTTCGCTGGCGACCTGCAGTGAGTTGCCTCCTAGTTGACAGGCAGCATGACGCAGCTCGCATAGATTGCCGTATGTCACTCCGTCCGATCCACATACCGCGTCAGTGCGGGAAACGAAGAGGGGGCATGCAGAGCAAAGTGAGCCCATAATAGCATCTAGGAGAAATAAGATCATAATTAGCCTAATTAACAAGTATACCGATTGAAAGCCCTTCAAGCAATCAACGAAACGGCGATTTCAACACTCTTTTGCATTATGTTTGGATTATGTAATATGTTATTGTAAGGTTCGTACATTTCAAAAGGTGATGGAAAAGGCTATTTAATTTTTTTCTTGAAAGTTTGCGATCACGTTTCATTTGCCTCAATGTATTTTCTATCATTACGATACAAGTTCACAAAATTTCAAGCATGAGATTTAGTTTGCATGTTTAGGAGATCCAATTGAGAATTTCTCTTAAAGTAAGTGTCCTTTTTTAAGGAAAAAAAAATTCCCAATTAACTTTGAAAATACATGTTCTCACCTGGAGAATCATCATCGGTAGCTTGCAGTGCACCACATCCAGCACCACCTCCCATTGCACCACAATCATCTCTATCATCATCACCACCACCATAATCATCTCCACCATCGTCATCACCACCGTCATCGTCTCCTCCATCTTCGTCACCACCATCGTCGTCACCACCATAGTCATCACCACCATAGTAATCACCACCATAGTAATCGCCACCATAGCCATCATCACCACCATCATCACCGCCATCGTCATCGCCGTCATCACCACCATTATCACCGCCGTCATCACCACCATCATCACCTCCATCATCGCCGCCGTCATCGCCGCCATCATCACCGCCATCATTACCGCCATCATCACCGCCATCATCGACGCCATCATCACCGTCGTCATCATCATCACCTGCAGGAACTGGTACTGGGATGTATACTGGTTTTTCCACTACCTCGTAATGCACTTCTGGTACTGATACTGGTACTGATACTGGTACTGATACTGGGACGGAAATTGTGTTGGTACCACCACAGTCACCTCCACCGCCACCACCACCACCGCCTGCACCACCACCACCACCGGCACCACCACCACCACCACCACCACCACCGCCGCCGCCGCCGCCACCACACCCTCCTTCTTCGCTGCTGTCGGAGTCGGAGTCAGAGTCAGAGTCAGAGTCGGAGTCAGAGTCAGAGTCAGAGTCAGAGTCAGAGTCAGAATCAGAACTGTCGCATCCTCCAGAGCCACTACCGCAGCTATCACTTCCACTGCTGCTATCGCTGTCACTATCACTGCTGTCACATCCGTCACCATTACATCCACCATCCCCATCGCCATCACAGTCACCACCATCGCCATTGCAACCACCGCCGCCACTGCCATCACCATTACCATCTCCACCACAGTCACCACCATCACCACCACAATCACCATCACCATCACCGTCACCACCATCACCATAACCATCTCCACCACAATCACCACCATAACCACCACAATCACCATCACCATCACCATCGCCGTCACCACCATCACCATCACCATCACCATCCCCACCGTCACCACCACTGCCCCCACCATCACCGTCTCCTCCACAGTCTCCACCACAATCCCCATCACCACCACCGTCCCCACCATCACCGTCTCCTCCACAGTCTCCACCACAATCCCCGTCACCACCACCACCACCATCTCCATCGCAGGTACCATCACAATCACAACCGTCACATTCCTCGCTACTGCTGCTGCTCCTTCGAATTCTCTCCGCTGTGGTAAACACACAAAAGAAAGAAAAACAGAAATTTGCAATGCCATTTTATACGATTCATTTTTGGTTTGAAATAATCATAATGGTTACCTTAACAATACGAATACGATCATAGGGTTTTGAGAATATATCATGTATATATAAATTGTTATTTATTATCATAGTACATTATACTTTTGTTAATGTTTATGTTAAAATGGTGATGTACCTGGTGCAGCGGTTGATAATGCAGACAACATTAGAAGAAGGGCAAGAGAAATCCACAGCCGGTTCATGGTGCAGCTCGTCTTTTCCTGATCATATGAAGAGCAAGAAATACATGTAAGTAATAAAACATTCGATGGGTTATAAATTGTTACGATCAGTTATTTTAAGTGTAATTTATGTTATCATCCATGACATGTGCATAGAGTAGTGTTGCCTTTATCGACCTTTACTCTACCAGTGTGAAAACAAAACAATATATCTACCAACTGCGAAACATTCACTTTGAGCTTATAATCACACGAGTATAACCATTATAACCGTTCTGCCTAGTTGATCTTCTCACAAACACGTCGATTCGTTTTCATAGAAAGATTCTGCTTTAAATCGTGTCAAAGAGAGTACAAGAAAGGCGGTACGAGACTACTGATCAGCCCCTGAGCCATTTCGCCACCCTAATCAAATCGAATGTCATGAAATATTTTTGTTAACAGCCTTTTTCACGATAAAACTGAATTATCTTATTGACTGACAGCTTTACGAGTCTTTATAAAATAGTGAAAAGTACACTTACCGTTCTATGCAAACAGGAATGAATTTACACAAACTTGTCGTAAAAAAACTCTGAAACAGCAGATACTTTATTCCATATATCTTAGCTGCTTCTCCACTGCTTATGTTGCTTGTGATAAGCTCTTCAGAGAGAGTTCAACTGATGATTTCTTCGAGAGTAGTCTGCATATTTATACTATTACGAGAACTATGTTTTTACTCGACTCCGAAAAGTTCACACATTCCTTTGTTATGTTTTCTTCTTTTCTTTTCACACATGTAGCACGCGCCAACGCCCTTCCCCAAAAAACAAAAAGGGGGGATGTGCGTTTTAACATTACCCTGAGCCAGCATAAATGAATGTTCGTGTCAAAATATGGTTTCAATGATCCCATAGACACTTTAGCTTGGATTAATTAAAGCACATTATAACAATATCTTACATAGATCAGGTAATCTTCAAGTCTTTTAAACACCATCTTAAAATTATTCTTTGATTTCAATTGCAGATGAACATTTTCTTTATCCGTAATGTAGTCGCGAAAGTAATCCGGATGGATTTAGCGTGACCCATCCAATTCGGGCTAAATGACTCTACTCTGAAAATGGATTTGGATTTAATAAATGATTAGCGTGCTTAGTATATCAGCGAAACATAGTTCATTACAAGTTGGGAAGATTAAGAGGCTCGGGCATTGAGACGAACTGTTCGTGATTATATCAGACTTTAGGTTTAAGTGGCGAAAGAATATGAGAGAATTTTCGTTTAAATTCTATTAGACTTAGCATTACACTTAGGTCTAACATTAAGCTTTTATCACTGATTCATTCATTTATTTGTTTCTTTCATTTTTGTTTATTTAATACACTATTTTACAGGATTGGTCACGTCACCTAGTCTTCAATCATAGAGCCACAAAAACCTATTGTGACAGGGCATTTGCATGTGGTGGACCAACACTTTGGAACGCTCTCCCAGTGTCGCTACGCTCCATGACTGATGTTGAAGTTTTTAAGAGAGCACTGAAAACTCACCTCTTTGATGAATGCTTCGAGTAATTATTATGTAAACGTACATTGTATATTGTAAAGCGCTTTGAGAGGGCCTTCGGTCCTGAAATGCGCTATAAAAAAACGAACTATTATTAGTATTATTACTTTAATAAATATAAATACATAATTGAATCTTGTTGATACAGATAATAACAAGTAAAGTGGTGACACGTCTTCTAAAACTGAGAAGTGAATATAATCGCTGTTATTTACATTTTCTCTGCTTCTGTTTACCTAAATTGCCTGCTTTTTACACGCACACACACGCACACGCCCCAAACCGCTCACACATACACAGCGCATTGCCCACCCCTGCTAATTAAGGCTTCTAAAAAACGTTGTTGTGTTGCCCTTTGCGACCGACCCCAAAATCTTAAAATCTTCGGTCGGCTTTTTATTTAGTTTTATTTTTTACCGTTTTTAAGGGGAAAAAGGTTTAATGAATAAAAAAATATGTATTAAAGCATTCAAAACTGAAAAATATCAGCCGAAAGAGAGGAAAAAAGCAACAACAATAATATAAAGCCCAAAAAATGAAAATCGACCGACCGACCAAAGTGCTGGCACCTAAAGGGCAATTCAACATTTTTTGTAAAGGCCTAATCTGTAGGCACAGACTCAAATTTCACACTTTACCACAATATCTTGAGCCTTGAGTAGAACCCAGCTCTGTCAGTGTATAGTGAAGAGCCTATGCAATATATATATATATATATTTATACATGTACCTGCAAGCTAAACCCCTGCCCCTCTCTTTCTTTCTTTCTCTCTCTCTCTCTCTCTCTCTCTCTCTCTCTTATTTTCTCTTTCTCTTTCTCCCCCTCTCTCTCTCTCTCGCTCTCCCTCTTCATATTTTCTTCTTATTTCACATATATTTCTCACACACACACACACACACACACACACACTTCCACGTTTATCTCTGTCTGTCTGTCTGTTCATCTCTCTCTCTCTCCTTTGTTTCTTTCTCTCTCCTTGTCCCTCTCTTCTTCTCTCGTTCTCTCATCACCATATCTCTTTTTTCCTTCTTTCTATATTCCTATTTCTTTTGGTCTGCCTCCATCTCTCTGTACACCGTATCTTCTCACTTTATTTTGCTAATACTCCCATATGCGTTTCATTCACTCTCTCTTCCTAATCGTGTCAGTGTACTTCTGTTAATGAATCTGTCTATATCTCTGTCAATCTATTTCTATGTCATTATTTTCTTTTTCTTCTTCCCTTCATACTCTGGCAGTTCTTTTAAGCTTAGCTCCCTGAATCTAATCTTAATAATTATTTCCTGATTTTGGAATGTTTTTCCATGCCTTTCATTTCATGACTTGGGAAAAACAAAAATTCCATACAGGGGGCATTTCTATACAAGTTTGAAACAAGGTCGTTCCCTTCTCAAACCCGAGGTATCTTTATCGTGTTTAAAACAAAGCAGAGTGACATCACACATTGCTCTCTGCTCAAATTTTCGTAACCTTTTCTTTTCCTCAGCATAAATTCCTTGTGAGAGCCGCAAAAGTAAGAAATGTAATGTTGAATAACACATACTCTGTATTGTGTTAAGGAACTACCCCTCACTCCCTCCCTCTCCACAAGCATAGACATACACACACACACACACACACACACACACACACACGCACACACACACGCACACGCACGCACACGCACATACACATTTTCTCTATCAAGAGTGACACCCCTTTTCGAGTTTCTTCGAATCGCTCAAATTATCTTTAATTAGCACAATTTGTTAAATCATATTTATTAATATCACAAAAGATAACAAAATACCCAACCCATGTACCAAAATGAATTGTTTGAAGACGACCCAATTATATGAACTTTCATTACACTTTCAATTGCAAAACGTTGAATGTTTATTTGTTTTGAAGAATATAAGTTTCGTGATTTGCATTATTTTGCACTATCTAGCCATGGATGTTTGCTTTGTGTTTGAATTCAAGCCAAGAAGCACAAAGTAAGCATCATAGTAAATATATCATTTTTTGTTATCACTTCTTTTATTACTTCTGTTCATGATGTTATTCACGTTATGATGTACTTCTTATTGGGCTCTTCAACATGAATAAAAATGAATATGCTGGTATGATATTATCTGAAACATTTTCATTCTATCAGGTTTTTAAATCGATTGATTGTTTCCCAAATAGAGGTTCTCCTCCATACCCCCCCCCTTTTTTTTCCCCCTCACTCTATCCCTTTTTTTTCTCTCTCTCTCTCTCTCCGACTTTTTTCGTCATTCTATTGTGTATTATATTTTTCTCTCCCCTCTCTTTCTCTCTTAATACCATATCTCTTCCACTCTTTTTATACTTTTTACCCATTTTATCTCACTTTCGATGATCATCTCACTGTACTTTTCCATACAATGCAAGTCAATAAAATATAATGTTGTAATATTGTTCTCACCGGTAAAAAAAAAATACAACTAAAATGAATAAAAATGAAAATAGGCATATAAAATATTCATGTTGTACATTTTTTTAAATCACATTTAATTCAACAAATCCACACATTAAAGCCCCTATAAAGTGTTGGGAGCCCCAAATGCTCAAAAAAACAAAATTTCACTTAACGAATTGTATCATAATGTGAAAGAGTATGGCATTTAAGATACACTCCTGCAAAGATTTACCTCACGAAAATGTGTTTGAAGCAAATGTTGATAACAAATTATATAATGTGGGTTTTCTGTACGCAGAAAACCTAAATTTTGTATTCTTTCATCAATATTCGACTTCAAACACTTTTGTTTTGAAAATCCTTGCACAAATGTGTCTTAAATGAAATCCTTTTTTCACATCATGATACAATTTAAGTGAAATTTTTGGTCCAAACACCTTAGAGGGGTTTTAAATCTTCATTTGTTACAGATAGTCAAGGTGATGAAATAGGCTCATTGCGTACATTTCATATGAATAAAACTATGAGCCATATTTCTTTTCCACTTTCTGAACAATTTATGGTTATTTTAAACATTATCAGATTTATAATTATCGGATTTATGTTGTGTATACAGTTTTATTTTATTTCGCTAATATCTTTAATTGATGGATGGACTACAAATTTATCATCTTAAGATATGGTCATCAGACTTCATACAAGAGTCGTCATTTCCACTTAATGTCAGATAGAATAAGAGGGTAACAGGTCACCAAATTTCTTATTTGTTTTGTATTAAAATGCATGAACTTCAATGTTGCCTTTGGGCATATGTGTCAGAATTCCCAAGGTGAACTTCCAAGTAATATAAGTGTAATGTAATAACAGTTTTACGATTTTACAAATATCAAACAATTGATTCATTGATGGTGAAATATATGGCGAAGTTTCTTTTACATCGTAACAGACTGAATAATAACACGCATATAGATCTTTCCGTGAATGTCTGATGGCCCATATGGATATTAACTTTGTATCAAAGCACAAATAGAGAGCTCCGAACTATATTTCGGGCCCACTGGTGACATCATAATCCTTTTCCTGACAGTCTTCCGCTTCTGTGATGATTGTATTAAAACTCATCTTATTTCAGGTCCTATTTTTTCATTATCATTTTTGTCTTCAGTATTTACACTTTGCATATAATAATTATTTATAAAATTTTAGTATAACATCTCCAACCTCTTCCTCGTCTTCACGTCTCTGTCATCGTCATGACAACAGGTTGCCCAATCCTCATCTCTTTATTTCCTGTCTCCTGTAAGATGAAAGTATAGGTACATTCATTCATTTACAAGAAAATAATCAAAGTTCATAATTTACGTGATTTTAGTTAATTGCGTCATCATATTTGTATGATAGTCAACGTGTGATTTTTCTTTATGGATTGCTAAATGCTTTTTAGAGATTTTATACAAGATTATACATTTAAAATATGTTCTGTAAACATGGTAATGAGTTAAGTTAGGATAGGAGGTAAAGAAAAATAAGAAAGTTAGATTTACTAGATACAATATTCTACATTCTACGACAACGGGAAGGGGGCTACATGTATATGATGATGATGATGATGATGAACAGCATTTGTATAGCGCCATTTATCTGCAAAAGCATTCAAAGGCGCCTGGCTCCCTCAATATGTCACATATTATTCGCAATGTTGCCGGAAAAGATAGGTTTTGAGTTCAGATTTAAAGGTATCAATGTTGTTACAATTTCGAAGTTGGACAGGTAGAGAGTTCCAAAGATGCGGAGCAGATGAAGAGAAGGCTCTATATGAGGTAAAGTCAATCAAGACTGTTGAAGAAAATGTTACTACAGTGTACATGTCTTAACATCTGTCAACTGTTATAAAAAAAAGTATCAGTTATTCGAAATCATGTTTAATAAACATGTCCCGTATAAACTTTGATTAGGATAATGATTAGGATTATGTTTACCGTATTCATCGTCATCATCGCCACTGTCATCATCTTCCCAATCGTCTTCCCATTCATCATCCCTCCTCTTTCTGTCTCCTGAAATATTAACAGATAAAATATTCATAATCCATTAATGTACAAAATACATAAATCAAATAAAGTAGGAATGTCACGTGATGTGGACATTTGGGAATACGTTACACAGTTTAATCTTATATCCTATAGTCCTTGTCATATCGAATCTGACATCAGTTTCTATAGCAGTGAATGTTTAAGGAGAGCAACATATTTTATCTTAAAATTACGTGTACTGCATATGAATTGGGTGCTTACCACGATTGAAATGCGAAGTGTTGTGAAAGTTAATATTATGTAAGGAACATGTAGAAGTGCCGAAAAATAATATTAAATGTATTTAATTCTGATTACCATCTCCATCTTCGTCGTCATCGTCACCGCTTTCATCATCTTCACATTCGTCCTCCTCGTCTCTCCTCTTTCTGTCCCCTGAAAAAAATCAAAATAAATATATAGCTGTGTTAGACAAAAATGTCCACGTTTGAATATATGTAAACATATTGTAAGACTGGGTTCCGATAACCATTCAATTATAAGCCTGTGAAGGTGTGTATGTTTGTCATAATACAAATTGCGTGGAGACGAAATATCAACGTCGTGACCTTTGTCTCTTTGTTCGACCAACTAAATGAACAGTTGGTTTGAAATTTCGCTCATAAAAGTATGAACTTAAATGAGAAGATTTAATTCATATGTGCTTCATGTCTTATGTTAATAATTTTCGGGGAAATTTTGGGTCATAAATCAACTCAAGCGCAATGTTTATGCTGTACATCCCATAGAAATCATGTACGGATTACGTTATTCGTTAATGTCACGATCGCACATTTAAATAGGTGACGCACGAAGGCTATTGAAATTGTCGTAAATTGATTTTTCGAAGGTAGTTTCGGTCGTTTTTAATGTGTTTGTGCATAACTACAATGAATTCCCCTTAAAACATGTGAATATATTAACCATTGAATATTGGTAATATTACAATGATTAGGTAGAGATATATTTTTCCTTTTGGCCGAATAAGATGAACATATAAATAAGTGACAAGGGGTATACTGTTTAGAATTCAAATTTAGAATTAAAACGAGGACAACTTAATTTAACTTAACAAATGTCTATCCTAGAGGGGTACAAATAAAAACATAAATAGTGTAAAACAACGAAGATTAAAATGCTACTAATCTGGCAATTTCAGGTAATAATCAAGTAACTTTTATAAGTTTAGGGCTACCATGGATGAATAATATAAGGTCTAATTACCATCCCCATCATCATCGTCCTTGCCACTGTCGTCATCATCATCCCATTCATCCTCCTCATCTCTTCTCTTTCTGTCTCCTACGAATACGAAAAGAAAATCATAAACATGTATCTGTTATCTGATCGAATAAAGGCACACCTCCCTAAATGTACTGTGTATCAGCTTATGGCTCAACATGTCAATCGTATAAGCTAACGACTGAAAAGGCCAACGTGTCAAATAAAAGCTAATAATCCCGAATATTTTAAGGCATCTGCCTGAAGGGAAATACTTTAATATGACTTAATACGTACGAGCTATAGGAGTAGGAAAAAAGACAACACGGTTGTAATTTAACATTAACCATCAAAATTATTACTATATCAAGTCAATAGTTTTATAGTAAAATGTATTATGTAAAATTGATTTATACCATCTCCATCTTCTTCGTCATCATCACCGCTTTCATCATCTTCACATTCGTCCTCTTCATCTCTCCTCTTTCTGTCTCCTGAAATATGAAAATGAAATATTGGAAAATAGCTTGAATCTATTATGAAAATACAAGGAATCTGTAAAATGTAAAATAAACTGGTGCAAGAAAAAAAAGGGAAGCCTTTGAATAGGATCCAGTATAATTATATGTACCAAATTCATATGGCTAATGTGCTCAAGGTAAGAACGTGAAAATATTAAAATATAAGAAAAATTAGAAAAAAAACAAGTTCATCTACTCGAAAGTTATTTTGAAATGATTTTTTTTTGGAGGGTAGGCCTATTTGTCTTTAGCAATTTACACGCTATATATGTAAGGTTGAACAACATCATTAGAAGAAAAGTAATTTTTGGAGGGTTAATTTCCTTTGAATGATAATAATTTTATGAGAAATTTAAACGCTATATAAAGTAGAATTCAAAATTGATATAATACTGAAGACATTGTCAAGTAGTGTTATGCCAGGATAGTAATTACCATCTACATCTTCGTCATCTTCTTCGCTTTCATCATCATCCCATTCCCAATCGTCATCTCTCCTCTTTCTATCTCCTAAAAAATAAATGGAAAATCATAGGAATAAAACAATGAAAGAATGCACAATCGAATACACCAGTATAAAACATATGTTTAAGGGTGATATTTATATACATATATATATATATATATATGTGTTTTAAAGTAACCTTCATGATTGTAGATGTGCAATTAAACGATAAGAAGCAAATTAGATATCATAGGCATTTGAGTTAGAAGGACTGGTGAATTAAAGCAGATAATATCGTTTATCGTTGGTTATTTTCAGGTCAAGATATAATAGATTCGATGAATAAATACAAATAAAGTTAAAATAATATGATTACCATCTCCATCCTCATCCTCATCTTCTTCGCTGTCATCATCATCCCATTCCCATTCCTCATCTCTCCTTTTTCTGTCTCCTAAAAATAAATAGAAAATCATGGGGATAAAACTATCTTTGAATAATGCACAAATGCACAGCGTAATACGCCAGTATAAGACCCATGTTTCAAGATAAGATATACTGAGATATATTTAAAAGTAGCTTCCATGATAGATTTGCAACTAAACGATTATAATGAATTATATATTATCTTAGGCATATGAATCGGAAATGCTGGTTAATGAAGGCTTATAATACCAAAGATAATATCGGTTAAAATCGCCTAATTTCTGGTCAACATATACTGAAGTAGATATATAATAATTACTAAAAGATAATTAGATATAATTACCATCTCCATCGTCTTCGTCATCTTCTTCGCTGTCATCATCTTCCCATTCCCATTCCTCATCTCTCCTCTTCCTGTCTCCTAAAAAATGAATAGAAAATCATAGGAATAAACAATCTTTGAATAATGCAAGAATGCACAGAGAAATACACCAATATAAGACACATAGGTGATACATATTATAAAGAGATATATTTAAAAGTGGCATCCATGATACATTTACAACTAACCGATAAGAAACGAATTAGGTGTTATCATAGGCATATGAATTAGAAGTGCTGATTAATGTAGGCCTATAATATCGAAGATAATACCGGTTAGTATCATCGCTTAATTTCAGGACAAAATATAATAAAGTCGATAAATAATTTTGTTTTAAAGACGTTTAAATATGATTACCATCTCCATCTTCGTCGTCATCTTCACCGCTTTCATCATCTTCACATTCGTCTTCCTCATCTCTCCTCTTTCTGTCTCCTATAGAATATGAAGAACAAAATTCGTTAAAATATATCTGTTGTTTGACCACATGACAGACAATGCTCTGCATGTGCTGTGTATTAACTTGCGCCAGAAGTTTTAAAGGAATTTGAATGAAAAACACAGAAACTGGACATCGATATAAGCTTTAACAAGACGAAGAGAGTGTATCTTCCTGGATCATGTACATCTACATAAAAGGAGTTGTCGAGATTTAAATTCCGCTGGACGATAATACCTTTTTTGCAAGAAACTCATCATATCTGCACAAAGGGGTATTTAGATTTAGAATAATGTCAGATAATTTTTTCTGATACTGGGGAGTATAACATATTTCCCAAGCAAGGCTAATATTAAAGGATCGCGAGATTTATACACAAGCAAAAGGGGCTTCAATGGTTGTCGTGCCTCTTAACGATAATTGGTGTGCAAGAAACTCAACCAGCCCAGCATAACAGGTATTTGAATTCGAAGTCATGTCAAACGAAGACTCGTACTATACAAATTATGAAAGACCACATTCCCAGACCACGATATGAATACACACAGGAGTGTAACAAAGATGAAATTACCATCTTCATCCTCATCGTCATCTTCTTCGCTGTCATCATCATCCCATTCCCATTCCTCATCTCTCCTCTTTCTGTCTCCTAAACAATAAATAGAAAATTATAGGAATAAAACTATCTTTGAATAATGCAAGAATGCACAATCGAATACACCAGTATAAGACACATGTTTAAAGGTGATACATACATGTATATATATATATATATATATATATATATATATATATATAAATATATATTTTTAAAAGTGGCATCTCTGATAGATGTACAATTAAACGATAAGAAGCAACTTAGATTACAAAAAAAGGCATATGAATTAGAAGGACTGGTAATTAAAGCTTATAACATCGAAGATAATATCGGTTTTGAGCGGTTATTTTCAGGTCAAGATATAATGAATTCGATAAGATAGTTATATTATTACCATCTCCATCTTCATCGTCATCTTCTTCGCTGTCATCATCATCCCATTCCCATTCCTCATCTCTCCTCTTCCTGTCTCCTGTAGAATATGAAAGAGAAAAGAAATTGTTAAGATATATCTGCTATCTGATCTGTTATCTGACATGTGATGAGTATTAGCTTGCGACGGAACAATAGAACAGGATTATGAAAACGACAACATTTAAATGAAAAACATAGAAACTGGACATCGACATACCCTTTACAAGCCGCACGAAATATCTACCAAGAGCATGTAGGTCTACATAAAACGGGGTTTTAGAGATTTAAATTCCCCTGGACGATAATAGTTTTTGCAAGAAACTCATCAAGATTAGCACAAAGGTTTTTACATTTAAAAAGATGGAAAATAATTGTTTCTGATATTCGGGAGTTTATCACATTTTTCGAAGCAAGGATATACAGCCATTTAAGCCCATTTTACATTTTTTTTTAATACAGTATAGATATCGGGATGCTTGAATTATAATTCAAGCATCCCGATTTCTATATAAAAAGATGTAAAATGGGCTTCAATGGATGCTGTGCCCCTCAATGATAAAAGGTGTGCAAGAAAAACAACAAGATCAGCATGACAGGCATATGAATTTGAAGTCATGTCAAACAAAGACTCGTACTAATTAAAAAGGGTACAAGACCGTATCCCAGGCATGATATGAATACACAAATGAGTGTAAAACAAGAAAACAATTAAAAAAAATCAAATTACCATCTCCATCTTCGTCATCTTCTTCACTGTCATCATCATCCCATTCCCACTCTTCGTCTCTTCTCTTTCTGTCACCTAGAATAAGAAAAATTTGTAAAAGAAACTAATTCGGTAAAATATGAAGCTGCAGGTAGCTTATCAATTGGTTAATCACTTTGCATCAATAAGTAGGATAAGATCATGAGTTAAGTCAGACGGTTCTTAGCAAGTAGTACAAACCCTTATGTGCTTAAAAAGGAAGTGTTTACGAGAGTGTATGAAATACAGTTCAATCATAGAGTACGTCATTATTTTGAGTCATTTTAGATATCGTAATCACCATTGAATCTAATAGCAGCATCAGCAATATTCATAATGAAAAGTGTTTTTTTTTAAAAATATTTACCGCAACTGTCGCAATCGTCATCGTCATCGTCATCATCTTCCCCATCCCCATCGCTGCCATCATCATCTTCTTCATCGCAATCTTCTTCGCAATCTCCGCTATCCCCATCATCATCTCCATCGCATTCATCTCCATCACACGCTGAGCTGCCGTCTCGTCTCAATCTCTCAGCTATTTGGCAAAATGTCCACAACAAACAGAAAAACATTTATCATGTGCTTTGTTTCTTCTTTGAATATTTGCAGGATATCTGCATCTGCACAGGTGCCTCAGGTGTGTTTCGTCAAAGTTATAGGGTTAGAGTAATTGATGCAATCAGGTTTTAGATTAGGTTTAATCAGTGAATTGAGTATGGAACAATTATTGCAATAGAATGTGTCATCCGTTGGTACCACGCGGTTTCGATAGATTTGAATCAATCGCCATTGTTTTAAGACGGGTCGTTATCTCATCATTTTGATGAGATTATAATCAGCAGAAAGACATGTCTATCATAATGATCATGAATCTACCTACATCATGACATGTACATGTGAAAGGAAAGAGTGACCAATTATTATCTTACACAAAATGGAACAAAGAGCAAAGGATGAACTTCAAAGTCATCTGAGTTGGCTACTTTACAGAAGAGTTCTTTCGATTAAAAATAATTAAAGTCTACTGAAAATTTCCTTAGGAACAAATAAATGGGGTCTTAGAAATATTTCTGAGGTACATCATCCCCCAATATAAGTGTCAAATGAGACCTGGTAGCCTGTTGAGTCAGTTCAATGTTGTTCAATGAAAGCGTAATTGGATAAATTAATACTTTAGCATAATTTTCTTTAATAGAGAATTGTACTCACTTGGAGCAGCCGATGTCATGACGATGAGGAAAAGGACGGACATTAACATCAGCCACAGGCGACTCATCTTTGTAGGGTCTGTGTAAAAAATGATATTCATAAAGCTCAATCAATGATCAAAATGAGTACGAGGCGGATAAAAAGGGCGCTGCGGCCCTTCCCCTCACCCTCCGAGAATTATGATTACCCATATTCGGAGAGCAAGGTGGTATTTTCTGTACCTTAAAAACTAAATTTGTTCATTATGGTGACTAAAGTACAATGTAAGAATAGGGTAAATATTTTATAGCTCTCTTCAGTCGCTCGCATGATTTAGAAAATTAAGACAAATTTATATTATTAAAAACACGTCAGTTCCCCTACCCTAAGAAACCCAAACCTCCTTTCGATCGATAATTGAATATCAATTATACAATCTATAGATCACATTGATCACATATTTTTATTTAGCTAATACAATCTTCAATGTTTTGAAGCCTACTTACCAGTTTTCACGCTTGATCTTTCCGGCAAGTGTCTCTATCTTACTTTGTTTCACTGATTTCAGTTATTTCCCTGCAATTATAACACCACTTTCGTCGCTCAGTAGTCAGTGTGCCTTTGAAACCTGTTTTGTCTCTCATCCTGTATTTATACTTTCCAAAGGGGTCATCTGAAACGTACATCAAACCGAAAATGAATCACATTTATTCCACGCTGTGATAGCATCTTGAAAACGGACAGTGATGGTTATCTTGACGATGCGTGAGGATTATAAGTTGTAACTTGATATTCCTTCAGAATTGGACGGATACTTGCGAAAATAACAATATGCTTGAATGGCACGTGTAAAGACAGGGAAAGAACGCTGACATGAAATGAAGAGGGGCTGGTCTATGGTTTGATCCTTGGGGGAATTGGGGGGATCCCTGCCATGCAATACTTGAGACCGATACTGACCAAACAATATCAGAACCCGTGTACATTACATTTGATAACGGAAATCATGATTATCTTGTCCATAGGATTAATAATATGGGTAATACTCTAGGTTTGTAAAATGACTGACTGGATTATGGCGACTAAAAGGCTCAAGTGACTTGGGGGTGTTGAAGCGCATTTGTGCCTAATGCGCATGCTCAAACCTCTAGTTCATCTCGGGTGGATTCGCTGTCCACATAATAGTGTATGGCATGCGACACCAAGTCACATACCAACAAAAACGTCCAGATTAGAAGGGAAAAAAGACGGGAAAAGGGATTAAAAGAATAGCTCCTCCTCGAACGTGGTGCCTAAAACATAAATATCAACCATACCCGTCTACTACGACTGCTCTCCCTTTTGAAACATGATTCGATCTATTACTAATAGCTTATATCTTATTGGATTCTAAGAGCACTGTATGATATTACGGGAAATTCATAACACGGGCCAGTTGAAGTAACAAGCCTCCTTCACCCCGCCCCCCCCCTCCCCCCCCCAAAAAAAAATAAAAAAATAAAATAAAAAATAAATAAATAAATAAATAAATTTTTAAAAAATAAAATAATAAATAAATAAATTAAATAAAATAAATAAATAAATAATAATAATAATAAATTAATTGATTTAAAAAAAATGAAAGATTAAGCAGTGATTAAGCAGTGGAATCTCTATGTGCACGTGGTACTATCAAAATGCAATATTCCGCTAGCTTGGGAGAGAATTAACAATTTTGTAACACTGCCTTACATTTCGTCTACCAAATATCGAAACTTCAGCGGCATCCATCCGCCCTCCCCCCTGCACTCATGTCTTCACCCATGCTACGCCATTGGTAGGATGTACAATGTTGTATGAATATAAAGAAACAAAATGCAACTATGTAAGTTTAAGCTGATTCTCACCGCTATCAAAATTTAAGCCCCCAAATAATAATAACAACAAAGTGGTACCCTTTTTATTTAATTACTGCAATTGCATTGATAGAGTATACTCTCTTAAAATTTGCTTCATAATAGTCTTGATGATCAGCTATCATCAAAGTATTGTAAGTTTTTCTACATGTCTGTGGAGAATTTGATATTTTATACAAAATTAAAGAGAAGGTTGAGTTCTGGGAAGAGGTGAAAAATAATTGTGAACTTTATCATTCTTATTATGCAAGTGTGAAAGAACATCAGATAAGACATGTTCCCTGAAAAAACATGGCTCTTCAAATGCCTTCATATTCTAAATATGTCATGTAAATCGTAATACTCGGGGGTAGGTTTTTTACACCACGTGTTCGTGTAGTCCCATATACATCTTTCTGTGTACAGTGTTTGTAACTTTACCAAGACTTGGCCAAATTTCTTATCATTTTGATGATTCCAGAACCTTGCAATACACACAAATTCTTATATGCTAGATGATCAACCTTTTCTGGTCGATTCCACACCGTTTCTTTCACAATGCAATCGCATGACCAGAACTCAACTTCATCTTTAAGTGTGTTTGTTTCTCGGTAATGATAAACAAGAGAGGAAAGCTATTTTTCCCTGATTCTCTTTACTTTTATTCTATTTTTTGTCCATTGTAATAAGTTCACCAAAGATATTTAGTGATCTGACCCATCTTAACGTATGCTACGGGCACATAAAATGCGAAATTCTTTCTCAATCTAAAGCAAGAAGATTGATTTATAAACTAAACATCTCCCTAATTCCATTCCAATATTTACACATGATGTTATTGTTTTTTTTATGCTGACGTTTTCCGCCAATTCATATCTATATTCGAATGATACTAATATTATCCCGCTTTTATTGTGATATTATACTTTTCTATATACCAGTATATAAAAATTGGGGTGTGTGTGTTTGTGTGTATTGTGTGTGTGAGAGAGAGAGAGAGAGAGATAGAGGGAAAGGGAGAGGGAGGGGGTTCTTTTCAGTCCGGGTAGCTCTTACTAATATACATATATACTGTATATATACAAAATATCCTGGAATCAGGATATGTTATTCTGATTATAACCAAGAAAAGATAATAGTCACCAAGACGAAAATAGAATTACGTATAATACCAATACTACCTAATTTACAAAAAGATCTCTCTCTCTCTCTCTCTTTCTCTGTTTCTCTTCCCCCTCTCTCCATGGATGTTTTTTCATTACTAACATGTTAATATTTTCTTTTATAGATTCTTTAACAGTGTGTGGTTTAGCTCTCTCTCTCTCTCTCTCTCTCTCTCTCTCGTTCTCTCTCTCTTTCTCTATCTCTCTCTTTCTCCCTCCCTCTCTCTCTCCCCATCTTTCTCTCTCTCTCTTTATCATTATCTTCTTTGTTCTATTTCGGTTTGTATTTCTCTTAACATTGATCCTTCTCCCCCTTTTTATTTAACTGACCCTATTTTCTTTTCTCTCATCTTCTTCTGTTTCACTCATTCTCTTTCTCCCTCTCGATAAGTTTTCTTTTGGTGGTATTTACCGTATTCACTGTACTCTATCTGTCAATCTCCCGTTCTCTTTCCGAGAAACGTTACAAGCAAAACGAAGCTTATTCATTTATACAATGAGGAGAATCGCATATAAATGGAATACATTTTTATTTCAGGCATATAAATGATACGAATAATGATCTGTGATTTAGAGAAAATGTGAATAAGAATGCTTAAATATTCACATTAACTCGTTGACGAGCCCCTGCTAAAGATAATAATGATATTATTCAAATTCTAGAGGTTATTAAATATAATCATTGGTATAGTTTCATCGAATTAAACAAGTTTTGAATAAATTACATATCGTTAAATATACACAACATAGTATGTAGAGTAGCAGTCATCAGACATTATCTGAAATAGTACTTCATTTACAGTAAGTCTTCATTTCTGTTACTTTTGTCAAATTATACCAATTCATAAGTCACTCGCTTTACCTGTACATTATAAACATTGCGAATACAACAAAGATTGAGTTTCGAGACAACAAAGATTGAAATTAAAAGATATCAATAAATAAATTGAACATTGGGCCTCATGGGCTCAACCTGTTGTCTTTAAAGTCTAATTCTACTTTTGTTTACATTTAATTTGTTTTAAATGTTTTCTAGTATTCATTGTTTTTAGGCATGAGACTATAGTTCAATTTCAGAGAATACTCGACATTTTCATTCATATTTTTGTTTTTGTACACTTTTCACAACTTTTTTTCTGTCCATTATTGGACAAATTTTTTTTGTGTGCAAAGGCTAAGTATCAACTTTAACCTTTACAAATACAACTCTAGTTTGCTAGGTCAATAGTCGTCGTCGCCGTCACCATCCGCAGCGTTATCATCATGGTCATCGTCATCATCATCGTCATCATCATCGTCATCATCATTATCATCATCGGTATCGTCATCGGTATCGTCATTTCTTTCACCACTCGACATTTCTTTCGGTTCCTCTTCCTCACCACTCGACATCTCTTTCGGTTGCTCTTCTTCACCGCTCGACATTTCTTTCGGTTCCTCTTGCTCACCGCTCGACATTCCTTTCAGTTCCTCTACCTGACCGCTTGACACTTCTTTCGGTTGCTCTCCCTCCCCGCTTGACACTTCTTTCGGTTGCTCTCCCTCACCGCTTGACATTTCTTTCGGTTGATATCCCTCACCGCTTGACATTTCTTTCGGTTGATATCCCTCACCGCTCGATATTTCTTTCGGTTGTTCCTCTACCTGACCGCTTGACATTTCTTTCGGTTCTTCTCCCTCACCGCTCGATATTTCTTTCGGTTCTTCTCCCTCCCCGCTCGATATTTCTTTCGGTTGCTCTTCCTCCCCGCTCGATATTTCTTTCGGTTGATATCCCTCACCGCTTGAAATTTCTTTCGGTTGATATCCCTCACCGCTCGACATTTCTTTCGGTTGTTCCTCTACCTGACCGCTTGACATTTCTTTCGGTTCTTCTCCCTCACCGCTCGATATTTCTTTCGGTTCTTCTCCCTCCCCGCTCGATATTTCGTTCGGTTGCTCTTCCTCCCCGCTCGATTTTTCTTTCGGTTGCTCTTCCTCCCCGCTCGATATTTCTTTCGGTTGCTCTCCCTCCCCGCTCGATATTTCTTTCGGTTGCTCTTCCTCCCCGCTCGATATTTCTTTCGGTTGCTCTCCCTCCCCGCTCGATATTTCTTTCGGTTGCTCTCCCTCCCCGCTCGATATTTCGTTCGGTTGCTCTTCCTCCCCGCTCGATATTTCTTTCGGTTGCTCTCCCTCCCCGCTCGACATTTCTTTCGGTTGCTCTCCCTCCCCGCTCGATATTTCTTTCGGTTGCTCTCCCTCACCGCTCGATATTTCTTTCGGTTGCTCTTCCTCCCCGCTCGATATTTCTTTCGGTTGCTCTCCCTCACCGCTCGATATTTCTTTCGGTTGCTCTACCTGACCGCTCGACATTTCTTTAGGTTCCTCTACCTGACCGCTCGACATTTCTTTAGGCTCCTCGACCTGACCGCTTGACATTTCTTGGGGTAGTTCTACAGCTTCCACATTCGTGCTTTGGTCAACTAAAGGATGAAACGAAATGACAGCAACATAAATTAAGTGTAAAGTATTCAAAGAGATACAGAAAATAACATATTTCTGTATCATATTTCTGTATCACGTCCGGGAATAAAACATTTTAAATATATCGTATTCTGTGATCGTTATAATTCTTTTTTCTTGTTTTTTTTATTCCCATAATCCCTTATAAGTTATAACCATTTCAGTGTACCATGCTTTTTTAATTTAAGCAATGTTTAATCAGTTTCTTTCCTTATTTATCACTGCAACACCTCACAGTACACGTCAATTATTATGTACTACATAGTCAACTATATCTTGATCATTTCTTTCACAATGTTATCCCATTATCAGTACTCAAGTTAATCTTTAATTTAGACTTACCCGGAGCCGCCATTGCAATGGTTGCCGTAGCGACCAGCAGCATGATGGCGAAGGTGAAGTTTGATAGTCGATTCATCATGGTATCTTCTTGTATTGTCTATTAAAAAAAAAACATAATATTAAAATAATAATGATTTTAAGAAACGGTGCTTATAAAGCGCTAAGATGAAATTGCTAAGAAATATTTTCAAGAAAACCAAAACGTCTTTGTTTTAAAGATCTTAGTTAAAAGCTAATTTACCAATCAACATTGATCACGAGTCGAAAACGCGACAGGGAACACCACTGCAAGATTTCTTTGTTCAAATCTTTTATGTAGGTATGTGCAAAATATCTAAATCAAACTTTAAATAAAATGTAGCTTATTTTACATGCACAATGCAGGCTATATGGATCCGAATAGTGTTATGTCTTGGCATGCAGAAAGGTTTGGAAGACCTGTAATAGTTTGCATTTCAGATCTTAAAAAATCTGTATAAGTATGATGCAATGGTGAACTACATTTTTTTTTCTCAAACAATATTGATTGCACCTTACCTGTAGTCGAATGAAAAAGCTCAGACGTTTGCTTTTGGTACGTTGCTGTGTTGTCACTATAAAGCTAGTGATATGGTTAGCTTGTCTCCTTTGCTTGTCGAAACTACAACTGATGATTTTCCAGCTTCTAACCTCCCGTATTTATACTATTCGACGGCTTTATTGGTTCTATTTGTTAGGAACAGTAGAAAATGGCAAGGTCTATATACACTTTGACATTGGATACTATGATTTATATCATTTTATTGTTATACCTTTGGAAGCATACGGTGATAAATATCAACGTATGTACGTGAACAGAAAAACAAAGTACCTCTTTAAATAATGTTCTTGTCAGAGGACATCTTATCGGAAAATCTTACATTCGCAGTCCATTGTGCGAACATTTTTTTTACCAGGCCTGTACAAATTGTTGGTACACAGTCTGGCTTAACTTAATCTGTCCGTTTTATATCACTCATTAGCTCATATACATTACAATCAGTAGGATCGTTTAGAATATAGTCGTAAGCTCGATCCTTTTTTTTCGTCTGGTTATGATTTTAATCATAAAAGTTGCTTTAAAAAAAGAAGTGGTGGGGGATTAATACTAAATTGATTTTTTTTCTTTGGATTCTGTCCATCCCTGCATAAAAGTCACTGGAAAATATATATTTACATTTTCATTGAAATATTTGAATAAAATTTGTGAACAAATAATACAACACCATCTCTCTCTCTCTCTCTCTCTTTCTCTCTATTTATTTCTTTCTCTCTATCTCTATCTCTATCTATCTTTCTATCTCTATTTTTTCTATCTTCTCTTGTCTTTCTTCCTCATTCTCCTCATCTTTTATCTTTAATAATAATAATAATAATAATAATAATAGTGGGTTCTTGTATAGCGCTCATGTCTGTCAGACTTGACCCTCCTGGCGCTCCCGATTATTACCCTGGCTTTAGAACGGCTGCCATACGGCGCTCTAGCATTTCAAGGAATTAATTCCTGCCAGGTACCCATTTACATCACTTGGGTTGAGTGTGGCAAATGTAGATCAATGTCTTGTCAAAGGACATTAGTGACGCGGCGGGACTCGAACCGCGGACTTTGTAATCGACAGTCCGGCGACATATCCACTCGACCAAGACACCTCTACCTCTACCTCTTTAGTTCTATGTATCATTCTCTTCTTCTTCTTTTTTAATTAGGAAATGTGTATTCTCTGACTCAAAGAAGTGACTGATATATAGAGACAAAGTTGGTCGTTTGTTTTCTGGCAAGGGGCCAGCCAATGAGACCCATACATGCTCTGAATTAGGAACGAGCTACATGTACCTTTGAAACCCATATATTTAAAAAAAAAAAATCTTCAAATTGTGTTGATGAAGAAAACAAAAGTTTATATCCTGTTTATACGAGCATGCATATTTTTAACAACTGGTTTGTATTTGTTTTAGGTAGTGCATGAGATACCAAAGGCCACATGACTGTCTACAGGAAACATTCGAGAGGAGTATCAAAAGTTTATTCCTGAAGGTAGGACCGCAAATCGGTAGTGAATGTCGATCAACGGCGTAGCAACGAAACAGATCAGCGTTCTTTTGTTATGTTCTTTTTTGTTTTGTTTATTTTGTTTAGGTGTCAATAATCCGCTAGAGGCCTATGTCACATATAGGGACTTTTCGATTTGCGAGGACGTGGACGTGTGACTTCCTTTTAAGGCACTAGCAGTCACGTTGCAGTCCGCGTTCTCGTCGTGCAATCGAAAAGTCCCTAATGCTAAGAGCTGTACAGTGTCCTTTGATATCCTCCATCCTTTCCCCTCTTTCTCTGCCTCTCTTTATTTCTCTCTCTTGTGCAATAACCAACGATTTGCTCGTACCCTTTTAAGACTGTTCACAAAGAAACACGGGCATACACATAATTATCTTGTAACATAGTGTAAAAGACGATTTGACACTTTTAATGAGTCCAAACAGATCATATCATGTATTAATTAGACATACGTGTATATTTCAATTATTGCTCTTGCATAGCAGTCATCAGACAATTATGACAATACATGAAGTGCAGACATAAGTCTTCATTACTGCTATACTCTTATTGAATAATTACAGATCATCAACCACTTCTGGACATTCCTAACGATTAGATCTGACAAATAAATAAGTAATATCACATTGCATATAGCGCATATTAAATTTGTTCGGACGCTTCTTTCACTTGAATTCACACAGATACAAATTAATTATATTCTAATGCTTGATGAAGGAAAAGTGCTTAATCAGTGATTGTGATAATGATGATCATGAATTATCATCATTATCACTAACACTGATTAAGCACTTTTCCTTCTATCAAGCATTATAATATAATTTATTTGTATAGGATAGGCACGCAGTTAAAATAACATTAGAAGTTTACTAGGTCTATCATCATTATCGTCGTCTTCTGCGTTGATAGCTGCACATTCATCGTCATCGGTGCAATCTTCGTTATCGTCATCATCATCATCATCATCACCACCACCATCACTATCATTATCATCTTCATCATCGTCGTCGTCAGCACCGTCGTCGTCATCATCACAGTCACAGTCATCTCCATCATCATCGCAATCATCATCATCATCATCATCGTCGTCGTCAGCACCGTCGTCGTCATCATCACAGTCACAGTCATCGTCATCATCATCGCAATCATCACCATCATCTGCGTCATCGTCGTCGGTATCATCTTCATCAGAATCATCATCATTGCAATCATCGTCATCACAGCCATCTCCTCCATCGTCATCACATCCCTCATCATCTGCCAGGTCGCCATGATCATCAACCCCTCCGCTTGACAATTTGTTGGGATCCTCTACTGCATCCACACTCCTCTTGTCAACTAAAGTTTGAAAGAATGAAATTTTAAACGTGGTAAAGATGTATTCGATATACTGTCTCATTTGTATTATTCACAAACAGAATACTCTATATTTCGTGCCATTGTGCACTTTGTACAACTTTACCAGCGAATTTATCCTCATGACTCATCTATTTTTTTCCAACAAAATGTAGTTCATTAGAATTTAAATTATGTTTAACACTTACCCGGAACAGCCACAGCAATGGTAGTCATGGTTACCAATATGAAGACGGCGGACAGAGATAGTCGGCTCA